ACATTTTGTGGGTTTAGACAAATTTATAATTATATTTATCTACCATTAAAGTATAACATAGAATAATTTTTCTGCTCCCCATATCTTCTGTACTCTGCTTACTCGTGCTTCCTTTCCCCTTAATCCCTGCCAAATGCTGATTTTTTTCATTGTCTCGTAGTTTTCCCTGTTCAGGTATGTCATATATTTGGAATCTTACAGTGTAGCCTTTTTAGAACAGTTTCTTTCACCTAGTAATGTGCACTTGAGTTTTCCCTTGCTTTCATGCCTTGATAACTTATTTCTCTGATTGTACCAATTTTTTTTTGGACATAGGGTCTTGCTATGTAATTTGGGCTGGCCTCAAATTTGAGGCCCTCCTGCCTCTGCCTCCTGAGTGGTAGAATTACAGGTGTGTACCACCATGTCCAGCTAGATGCACCAGTTTAATTATCTGTTCTCCTACCAAAGGACATTTTGGTTATTTCCAAGTTTTGGCAATGAGTAAAGCTACTCTAAATATCCATGTGCAAGTTTCTGTGGACATAAGTTTTCAACTCTTTTGGGTAAATACCAAGGCACATGATTGTTTGAGTCTATTTTAAAAGTGCATTTTGTGTGTGTGTGTGTGTGTGTGTGTGGTGTTGGAGATTGAACCACATGTGTGCTAGGTAAGCCCTCTACCACTGAGTTATAGCCCTACATTTAAGAGAGTTATTTATTTATTTAATTAGGATATATTCATTGTACGGTGGGGAGGATTCATTATGACAATTCCAAATAGGCTTGTATTGTACATTGTTTAGATCACCCCACCATTTTATACTATCAGTTTAATATATAGTTACGTTCATTGGTTCATGAATCTTTAATGATGAAACTAAGCATTTAACTATGTTGTAGTATTTTTTAGTGGAATTTAGAAACTGTTCTTTTCTAGACTTTTTTTTTTTCCTCTCCCTCCCTCTCTCCTTCCCTCCATTCATAAAGACAATATCTTGCTACATAGCTCAGTTTAGCTTTGAACTCTCTACTCTCCTACCTCTGCTTCCCAAGTGCTGGGATTATAGGCTTGTACTACCATACATGGCTCTTTTCAAACTTTTAACCTTTAGAGTGAATATTCTTTGCCTTTGTGTTTTGCTTGGCCTCTCAGTGTTTAAGAATTTTTATTTATTTTTTAAAAGAGTTTTAAAATTTGTTGCTAATGTTTTAAAACTTGATCTGAGGGTGTGGCTCAAGCAGTAGAGTGCTAGCCTAGCAAGCATCAAACCCTTAGTTCAAACTGCAGTACTGCCCCCTCCCCCGCCAAAAAAAGAGTGGGGTGTGGCTCAAGTGATAGAGCACTTATCTAGCAATACTTTAAAACTTGAAGATGTACATAAAAACCCTGATTTCTGTAATAAAAGGCAAAAAAGGAAGTTCTGGCTTTTCCAAGTTCATTTGGTAGTAAGCTAGCTGCTGGTTGTATTTTCTAGTTCCCAGGGCAATTATATCCTGCCTGGCCTCCTTTAGGCATTTGCGTTTGCAATAATTCTTTACAGCACTCCTTTGCAAAACTTTCAGTGGCAGGTACAAAAATAGATAATTACATTACTGTTCCTGAAAGAGAGGAACTCATTTTATCTGAAATTACTTCAGTTTTGTCATTCTCTCACTCAGCCCAGTGTAACTGACCTTGATATACTTATCTAAAGGGAATCACCAAGTTTGTTTTTTAACATTGGTTAAATATAGTAAATAGCTTACTTTCCTTGTGTTTTAAACAAAATTCATTAATCATTTTGCATGGTTTAGGACACCAAGGAACACAGACTTACTTTGGGATTAAGGGGGTTTGGGGAGAGAATGCTGGAGATTGAACCCGGGACGTCACTTATGCTAGCAATCTACCACTGAACTACATCCCCAGACCTTTCTAAGATTTTTATTTTGAGATAGGGTCTCACTAAGTTGCCTAAGTTAGTCTCAAACTTGTGATCCTACTGCTTCAGCTTCTAGAGTACCTGGGGTTACAGGTGTATGCCACCACACTTGCCACATAATTTTTTTTTTGAAACTTAAAAAAATTAAAAAAAATCTTTTTATTACAATGAGAGGAATTGTGTGACTTACATTTAGTCTTATAAATTGAAGTTAATAGTGTTTTGTTTATGGTAACGAATTTGTTTATTGAAATGTATGCTTTTTAACCAGTATAGTAACATTAAATTAATTCTGAAAGATCATCTTTGCTATAGTTGGAAAATGAAATATTATTATTATTATTGTTATTTTCTGGTGCTGGAGTAACTCAGGGCCTACACCTTGAGCCACTCCACCAGTCCCTTTTGTGATGGTTTTTTTTCAAGATAGGGTCTCGAGAACTATTTGCTCAGGCTGGTTTTGAACTGTGATCCTCCTGATCTCTGCCTCATGAGTAGTTAGGATTACAGTCATGAGTCACGAGCGCTTGGTGGAAAATGAAATATAATTATTAAGCTGTGTGTCTAAGTTGATTTTTATAAATAGGTCTATTTTTTTCTTTTTTAACTATTATTTTTTGGTGGTTTGAACTCAGGGCTTCACACTTGCTAAGCAGGTGCCCTACTACTCTACCTCCAGTCCTTTTAGCTCTGGTTATTTTGGAGATGGGGTCTTGCAGAGTGTTTACTTAGGCTGAGTTTGAATCACAGTCCTCCCTATGTCAGCCTTCCAAGTAGTGAGAATTACAGGTGTCTGGCTTCAAAAGCTTTTAAAAAAAATTTCATTTTAGCAGTGCTGGGATTTGAACTCAGAGCCCTGCACTAGCCAAGAAGGACCAAAAGCTTTTCTTAATACACATTGTTAGGGTGTAGAGACAAGGGAGTCCTTGTACGTTATTGGTGAGATGGTACATTGGTTCAGCTATTTTGGATTTAAGTATGGAGATTCTTCAAAAACTTAAAATTAGAGCTACTGTAAGATTCAGCAATTCCATTTCTAGGTGTCTATCCAAAGGAAATGAAGTCAGTGTCTTGAAGACATTTCTGCACCCCCATGCTCATTGCAGTATTATTCACTGTGGCCTTAGGAGAGACAACTTAGAGTCCATCACACATACTTACAGTGGAATACTACTCATAAAAAGATGGAATCCTGTCATTTGTAGCAACATAAATAGACTTACAGAAGTAAGGCAGACATAGATAAAACTTCATGATTTCCTCATATATGGAAGTTTAAAAATTGGAACTCATAAAAATAAAGAGCAATAGTGATTACTAGAGGCTGAGGAGGGGTTGTAAATTAGGATTCTTTTTGAGACAGGGTCTAGCCCAGGCTTTCATTATAATATTTCCATACATGCATATAATGTACTTTGATCAAATTCACATCCTCTCCTTCCTTCCTTCCTTCCTTCCTTTCTTCCCTTCCTTCCTTTCCTTCCTTTCCTTCCTTTCCTTCCTTTCCTTCCTTCCTTCCTTCCCTCCCTCCCTCCCTTCCCTTCCTTCCCTTCTTTCCACTTCCCCCCCTTCCTCTCTTTCCCTCTCTCTCTTTCATCAATACTGTGGTTTGAACTTAGGGCCTCACATTTGTTAGGCAGGTCTTCTACTACTTGAGGCACTCCACCAGTTCTCTTTTGTGTTGGGTATTTTCAAGGCAGGGTCTCTCGAACTATTTGCCTGGGCTGGCTTTGAATAATTATCTTCCTGATTTCTGCTTCCTGAGTAGCTAGGATTATAGGAGGGAGCCACTGGTGCCCGGCACCTCTATTCTTTCTTCAACTCCCTTTTTTTCCTTTTATAATTTGTAATGGATTTCATTTTTCTATTTTTCTTTTTGGGCTGGGGTTTGAACTCAGAGCTTCACACTTGCAAAGCAGGCACTGTACTGCTTGAACTACACCTCCAGTCTGTTTTGCTCTGATTGTTGTAGAGATGGGGTCTTGTGGATTATTTGTCTAGGCTGGCTTTGCTCTACAATCCTCCTAATCTGTCTCCTGCATAACTAGGATTACAAGCGTGAGCTACTGACTCCCATGAGAAATCTGTTAGTATGATGGATTTACCATTGTATGTGATTTTTGCATCTCTTTTGTAGCTTTTGGTATTATTTACTTATTCTGTGTAGTGTTCTAACTATAACATGATATGGAGAAAGTCTTTTCTTCTTTGTCTGTTTGGTATTCTAAAAGCCTTTTGTACCTGGATGCTCATTTCTTTTCCAAGATTTGGAAATTTTTCTGCTATTATTGTATTGACTATTTTTGGGGGGAGGGGTGAGACTAGTGTTGGAGCTATACATTTGCAAAGCAGGCATTCTACCACTTGAGCCTCAACACCAGCCCAGGTTGGTCTTTAAATGGTGTCCCAAAGGTCTTGTTTGTTCTGTTTGTATTTTATTTTTTCCTTATTACTCATTTGCTGAATTTTCTAGCTCATATATCTTGTCTTTAAGCCCTGATAGGCTGTCTTTATTTTGACCCAGTGTGTTGATGAAGTTTTCAACTGAATTCTTTATTTGATTGAGCTTTTCTTTTCCTGAACTTCTATTTGATTTTTTTTAGGATTTCTGTATCTTTGTTGAATTTCTCTTTGATATCCTGCATGGTCTTCCTTATTTTATTTAGCTGTTTCTTTGTAATCTATTGGAATTCATCCAGGCATTTGTGTATTCTTTTTAATTGATTATTTTATGATCATTCTTTTGAATTCTTTGAAGTTATTGTCAGCCATTATTGTGGAATTGTTGACTTTTGAAAGAATTATATTGCCATGTTTTTTCATTTTTTATGCTTCTGCATTGGGATTTGTACATCTGAGGTAAAATGAAAGGAATACTATTATAATAAGTTGTGTTCCAAATGAATTTAAAGTAGTTTGTAGGAGGGAAAAGCTAACAAGATGATAGCAGTAGCCTTCTATACAATGACAATTTGATTATAAATCTTAACTGAAGAGTATTGTTGCTCATTATTGCCACCTCAAGGATATTTTAATTTTAGTGAGTCATGATTAAATGTTTTGTTTAATTGATGTTTCTCTCTCCCTCCCCTTTAGGAAAGAGAACAGCAGCCATGATAGAAGACAAAGGTCCAAGAGTGACAGACTACTTTGTTGTGGCAGGTCTCACCGATACATCCACTCTTTTGGATCAAGAAATAAATCGTTTAGATACTAAGTCAACTGGACCTAAGGCTCCAATTACAGACATTGCTGTTATCATCAAATCTGCTGGAGAAACAGTACCTGAAGGTTATACCTGTATTGAAGCCACTCCATCAGCACTTCAAGCAAACTTGAATTATGGAAGTCTGAAAAGCCCAGAGCTTTTCCTATGTTATAAGAGAGGGAGAGATAAACCACCCCTTACAGATATTGGGTATGGTGACTTTTCTTTTGTTTTCATGAATGGAATAAACTTTGTTTAATATACAGTTGTAGAAATCTGAAGTTCTTATTGGTTTTATTATTATTTGTTACTTCAAGATTAAGTATAGTAATACATTACATTATCTGTATGTTTCTTTACTGAATTTATCTGCATTTCACCTGAACTGTAAGACCATTTCCTTTCATATTGAAATGAAAGCATTAGACCCTGAAATGTGATTTCATTTCTGTTGTGCTTATGAGATAGGCTTATTTATTAAATGTAAAAGAATGAGATTATATAATAAAGGACACCACATTTTTAAGGAGCTACTTGGCTTACGTGATGCATTTTTATGAAGCAAAGCAACAGTTCTGTTTTTAAAAATACACTTGGGGACTGGGGTTGTGGCTTACTTTGCCTGTCATGCATGAGGTCCTAACTTTTATCCCTAGCACTGCAGAAAACAACAACAAACCCCCCCACAATTGTGTTAGGAGGTTTTTTTAGTGCTGGGTGGAGAGTATTTATAGCTTAGGAGGAGTGTTGTTGTCATGAAATATTTAATATCTAGTCAGTAGTCATCAAAGAAGATTATTCTTTGTAAAAGACTACCTAGGCCTTTTCTAAGAATATTTACATTGATTTTAATGTAAAAATAATGTTTTTAGGACTGGAGGTGTAGCTCAAGTTGTAGAGTGTCTGCCTAGCAAGTACAAAGCCCTGAGTTCAAACCCCCAAAAAGAAAAGGTTTTAGAATATCCATAGTAATTTACCATATGTGCATATCATGTGTTAAGTTGTTCTTATTACATTTATCATTACTGAAAAATAAATTGTGTAGTGTAGTGTTGAACAACACTGTGAAAGTCATTTTGTCTCATTCCTGATCTTGGGTAGAAGCTTTCAGTTTTTACTTCTGAGTATATTATGATATTAACAATTTTTTCAAAAAAGTATTTTTCTTTTCTTTTTTTGGTGGTACTTGGGTTTGAACTCAGGGCCTCACACTTGGTAGGCAGGCATTCTACCACTTGAGCCAGTCTGCCAGCCCAAAAAGCCGTTTTCCATGTTGACAGAGTTTTCTTCTATTTCTAGTTTTCTGAGAGATTTTATCATGTAGGTATGTTGGATTGTCAAGTGCCTTTTTGTCAATGTGATGATCATATGATTTATTTTGTTCTGTTAATGCTGTACAGTAGACTCTTGGTATCCGTGAATGTATGGTATCAAGGAGACCTTTAGGTAAACTGGAGAATGCTCAGAATGCATAGAGTTTAAACACTCTTAATGATAACCTGGGGACTGACTGAGAGCATCTCCATTTCAGTTGAGGTGTGTAATGTGTGTCCCCCCCCACTTTTTTTTTTTTTTTGGACAAGGCAGGCTTACTGTTTGGTTTTCTCATATTGAATCTCAGTCTCTCTTGCTTCCCTCCCCTCTTTCTCCTTGTCTTCAGACAGGGTCTCACTTAGTTGCCCAGGCTGGCCTTAAACTCTTAATCCTTCTGCTTCAGGCTCTTGAGTGCTGGAATATAGGCATGTACACTACCATGCCTGGCTTTTCTTAAAAATTTTCAAGGAGTTTTTTGGTGGTACTGGTGTTTTAACTCAGGGCCTTGAGCTTGCTAGGAAAGCTCTCTACCACTTAAGCCACACTCCTAGCCTCAGTAATTATGTATTAGGAAGATGAGCTTTTATTGAAATGGGATAGCTAACAAATATTTTCTCCAAGATAAGAGGTTCTCTTTTGGCTTGGTTTAGGGTATTTTTTGTCATGTGAAGTTAATTTTATGCACTTTATTTCTCTGCTCTCTTACTGCTTCTTGACTTTGAGTCATAGAATTGTCAGATCATTGGGAGTTCTTTCTAGCACCTACCATGAAGTATACATAGAATTTTTTTTTTTCAAATAGCAGTTTATTTTCTAATGGCAGTTATTCAAGCACTGCTCATTGAGTTTGACCTGGAACTCTGTGGATCCCTCATTGACCTCAGATCTATAATTCTTCAGTTCTTCTACCTCAGCTTCCTGAGTGCTGGGATTATAAGTGTATGCCACCACACCTAGCTTTAACTGCCTATTAAATTTAAAAGACCCTTTTCTCCTTAGTATTTTGAGATGATACCTTCATATACTAGATTTCTCTAGTGTTCCATTGTTCTCTCTGTTCACTAGGTTGCTGATATTATCTGATATACATAAATAATAAAGATACCTCTTGGTATCTTTCATGTGTTTTGGCCCTTTCTGTCAACAAATATCTATTTGTATTCTTTTCCTACTTTTTAAAAAAACAAAGCATTTTGATTTGTTTTTTGATCTTGCTATTTATATCAGGATAAAGGTCTTATCACATTTTAATATTTGGCTGGATTTGAAGAGCTTTATGGAAATGAAATTCACATATAATTCAGTTATTAAAGTGTACTGCTCAATAGTGTTTAGAGACCTGTGTAGCCATCACTGTAATCCATTTAGAACATTTTCATCACTCTAAAAAGAAACCCTGAAACTAATCATTAGCAACCCCTCGACAATCTTCCTTCCCACCCTCTGCCCTCAGGCAGCTGCTGCTCTGCTTTCTGTCTCTGACTTTGCCTGATCTGGACATCTCATATAAATGAAGTCATGCCATACCCGGTGTTTCCTGACTGGCTCCTTTCACCTAGCACACGTAGGTTCATCACAGTGTACCTTGTGTCAGTACTTCACACCTTTTTATTGCTAAACAGTGTTCTGTTGTACAGTTATAGCACATTATATGGCTATGATGCGTAATAATTGTGGTATGAGTACTTGTGTAAAACGTTTGTGGGTATCTTTTCATTTTTCTTGGGTATAGACCTAGAGTAGATTTGCTGGGTTATGTGGAAACTCCGTACTTACCCTTTTGAGGAACTGTCAAACTGTTCCAAAGCAGCTGATTCTGCCAGTGGTGTATGAGGATTTCAGTGTCTCCACGTCCTCACCACTGTCTTACTGATTATAGCCATCCCAGTGGATGTGAAGTGATATTTCACTGTGGGATTTTTTTTTTTTTTTTTTTTTTTTGTGGTACTGGGGCTTGAACTCAGGGTCTACACCTTGAACCACTCCACCAGCCCTTTTTTGTAAAGGGTTTTTCGAGATTGGGTCTCATGGACTATTTGTCCAGGCTGGCTTCAAACTGCCATCTTCTTGATCTCTGCCTCCTGAGTAGCTCGGATTATAGGCATGAGCCACTGGCGCCTGGCTGCATATCTTTTTTCAGCAAATATTTATTTGTATTTTTTGCCAACTTTTTAAACACCTAAACATTTTATTTTAAACATTTTGTTTTGTTTTTGGACTCGTTCAGCACAGGCTGGCCTTGAACTTGAGGTTCTCCTGCATCAGCATCCTGACTGCTAGAATTACAAACATGTACCATCATGTTCAGATTTTTTTGTTATTATTATTACTTTTTTTGGCCCGGGTACTGGGGATAACCTTGCACTTGCTAGGCAAGCACACTACAACTTGAGCCATGCCTCCTTCTCTTTTTTGCTATAGCTATTTTTGAGGGATAGTCTCATGCTTTTGAGCAGGCTGGCATTGAACCACAGTCCTCCTATCCCCACCTCCCAAGTAGCCACAGATTGCAGATGTGAGCCATCATGCCTGGCCTTGAGTTTTGTTTTTTGAAACAGGGTCTCTCTATATAGCCCAAGCTCTCTTGGAACTCACTGTGTAGCCCAGGCTCACCTCAAAGTTAGGATTCTCCTGCTTCAACCTCTTGAATATTAGAATTATATTTTTGTGCCATTATGCTAGAATTTTTTTCTTTTTTTTTTTTTTTTGGTGGTACTAGATTTTGAACTCCAGCAGGTGCTCTGTGGCTTGAGCCACTTCAGTCTAAGGCTTTTTAAAAATTTTTTCATGGTTCTAGGGTTTGAATTCAAGGCCTTATCTTGCTAAGCAGGTGGTCTACCACTTGAACCACACCTCTAGTCTCATTTTGAGGATTTTTTTTTTTTTGAGCTTTGAACTCAGCCTCGTGCTTGCTACGCAGGTATACAGTCTGGGGATTTTTAAAGAAAAAAAAAACTTACAGAAATTATGAAGGAAGTTTTTGTGAAACCATCTAAATACTTGATAAAACTTGTAGGGCTTGACTTGAGGATGTTTGTGTGGTGTTACCCATTTCTTTTTTTTTTTTTTTTTTTCCAGTACTGGGGTTTGAACTGAGGGCCAACACCTTGAGTCATTCAACCAGCCCTTTTTGGTGAAGGGTTTTTTCAAGATAGCGTCTTGAGAACTATTTGTCCAAGCTGGCTTCAAACCACCATCCTCCTGATCTCTGCCTCCTGAGTAGCTAGGAGTACAGGCATGAGCCACCAGCACTCTGTGACCCATTTCTTTCTTCATATGTATATTGTAATAAATAATAAAAAAAATTAAGTTGTTTTATCCTAAGCCTCTCAAATTATATACTAACTTTTGAAAATAATTCAGGAATTTATGGTTCTTAGAGTAATAATTTTAGTTTTGGCTTGTAATTGAGATTTGAAAAATAACAGCAGAGATTAAGTTTTTGTTTCAAGACAAAAACCAGTATTAACCTGAAAACTGTCTTTCTCTCCCTCCCTCCTTGCCTTGCAGAGTGTTATATGATGGGAAAGAAAGGATTATTCCAGGCTGTGAAGTGATCTACGCCACGCCCTTTGGTCGCTGTGCCAATGTCAACAACAGTTCAACCAGTTCACAAAGAATCTTTATTACCTTTAGGAGGGCTCCTCCAGTTCGACCCCAGAACTCCTTGGCTGTAACTGATATCTGTGTAATTATAACCAGCAAAGGAGAAACTCCTCCTCATACCTTCTGCAAAGTTGACAAAAACTTAAATTGCGGCATGGTAAGAATAAAGTTGTTTCATTTTAAAACAAACCAAGAGGGGGTAGTACTTTTGTACTTCTGTTTGCTATTCGGTATGTAGTTTATTCTCATATTTTTATGATTTTTATGTTTTTATTATTTTTAGCTCTAACTTTTTTTTTTTAACGGTGTTGGGAAACTCTCACATGCCAGGTCAGTGCTCTACCACACGTTACATCCCCAGCTAATTTCTGTGTTCATAGTAATTTCAAAAATTCTACCTGACAATTTAGAATAAATCAGAATGAATATGCAGAAAAAGATACCTTAATGAGGGATTTTTTGCTTTTATGTTTTGTTTTGTTTTTTTGAGGCAAAGGTTTCACTCTGTAGCTGAGGATGGTCTGGAAAAGGCTGTGTATGCCCATGCTGGCTTAGAACCTGCAATTCCCCTGCCTTACCTTCTTCAGTGCTGGGATTGTAGGTGTGCACCACCATGCTTGGCTTTTTTTTTTTAAATCCTAATATTGTTTATGTTATGGCAACATGGAAGTTTTATTAACTTTTGGTATTTGGTGATATCTTTAAGGACAATTGTGGAGAGATTGGGCAGGAGTGCCCCTTTATTTTAAATAATGTGATTTTTGCACACTTATTTTTTGAAAAGACCAGTAAGGAAGAAAATTGATCATATATATTTAATTTATAGTTTATAAGACTGAAGATTTATTGTGAAAAAACCTTCAGGTCAAACTAGCCTTATTTATTTATGCCATGTGTCTATAGCTCTTCATGAAGACAGGGTGGTCTCTGAGGCCATGACTCCATAGCACTTCAGTGGTCCTGGTCTTTCCTAGTTCTGGCTACACTGCCCCCTCCACTGTGTGCTTTCACTTTCAAGCAGAGGCAGTCTTGGTTGTAGAATTTTAAAACTTTTTGAAGCTGCACTTACCCTTTTAGTGTTTTCAACCATGCTTTGCTGTATTTTGCACTATATAATCTATTCAATAAACATAGATTCTGAGTTTTCTGTTTGGTGCTGGGAGTTACCCAGGTCCTTGCACATGCTAGGCATGCACTCTACCATTGAATTATATCCTCAGTAAACATAGGGTTTTTTTTTTTTTTTCCAGTTCTGGGGCTTGAACTCAGCCTCACACTTGTTAGGTACTCATTGCTTGCTTCACTCTGCCTGCTCATTTTTTTGCATTAGTCCTGGACTAAAACATAGGTTTTAATGAAAAAACTTATTGTTTTGTTTTGTTTTTTTGTGTGAGAGGGGTCACTATGTAGCCCAGGCTGGCCTCAAACTCACAATATTCCTGCCTCTGCCTCCTGAGTGTTGGGATTACTGTTATATACTGCCACATCTGGCTAAAAATAGGTTTTAAATAAACTTTTATGAATGAATAAATAAAATCTCTAGATGACATTCAAGAAAATCAATTTCTAGCTGGGTACTTGTGGCTCATGTCTATAATCCTCACTACTTAGGAGGTAGAGATTGGGAGGATCACAGTTTGAAGCCGGCCAGGCAAATAGTTCTCAAGGACCTATCTGGAGAAAAACCCATCACAGTAAAGGGCTGGTAGAGTGGCTTAAGGCGTCGGCCCTGAATTCAAACCCCAGTATTGCCAAAAACCAAAAAAAACCAAAAATCAATTTCTTACCACTTTTTTGTCTTTTTGTAAAACCTAATTTATCTTTTACAGTGGGGTTCCAGTGTGTTTCTATGTTATAAGAAGTCTGTGCCTGCTTCAAATGCAATAGCATATAAAGCTGGTGAGTGCATTAAAGGTTTTTTTCAGTTATTATAGATACTGGAGCACATTTACATTGGCCTAGAAGAGACAAAATATATTCCCTTAGGTAGTTTGTGGAAAATACCTATTTATAAAATTTGAATTAGCTGTAATTTCAACATGTAAAGGCCTAAGTATTCTTAAATGTATTGTATACTACAAGATATACTAATATGCCTACCCCTGTGTACTGTTGATTAAATTTAAACTTTTATCCAAAGCAAGCATATGTGGAATAAACATTCAGGCTTTTGGGCTGCACTAATAGATTTAACAATTTAAGGGAAAACTGCTTACTCTCTGACCTTTTTATATTTTGGCAATCAGAAAGATATCAAGACTGCATCTTTTCTTATATATTTCCTTCTCTTATCTTTGTGTGTCTGATTTGAAACCATATGTTACTTGCCATGAAAGGTGGACTTGCTTCCTTTTTCCCTTGTTGCAAAGAATCAGCTATGTGAAGGAGAGGAGGCCTGAGAGACTTTTCTCCATGAAGTTTTTGAGAACTCTTTCGCCACATTCTTACTGCACAGTAAAGTGTCAAGGGCTATAAAGATATAGTGTGACCTCTTCATCCCACTGGTATGGTGGGCTAAAATCTGAAAATACAGGTATGCTCCAGTTGTAAATACAAGAGATACTGGAATACTTCTTTGTGAAAGGAAGCAATGCCAATTAGTTTTTGATTATGCTCAGTTTTTGAAATGAAGTATTACTTCCTGGGGAAGTCAGGCAAATCCATATTTGAAAACTCTTGATTGTCCTCATAAAAATATTTATGCTAATGAATCAAACCACTTATTTTATGATATAAAAATAAAGGAAATAACTAGTACTATAAAATTCAGTATCATTTTAAAGTATGGTACTGTTAATATTGCTGTAATGTGTTGAATGTATATAATTTTCTAAGGTGTTTTCTTTTTTGGGGCATGGGGTAGGGAGAAGGTATCACTTCAAACAAACCTTGGCTAGTAGGGCTTGAAAAAATATTTAGGTATTTGATGTGAGATGCTCATTTTAGAATACAGACTTAATGTGGACTTAAAATTCTATTTTCGAATTTTTAACTTGACTAGTCTGAATATTGGTGACATTAGAGGCTAATTAATTGATGGGGTGTGGCTTCTTTGTTCAGAAGGGCTTTGTTATAGTTCTCAGAGTGCTCCCTGCCCTTACTCCTGGGTCTCTCCTACTCTACTCCATCTGAGGAGTTTCTGTTTCATCTCTTTTTCATGTTGCATGCCTTTATATTGCTTCTCTGTCAACATGAGTGTAGGAGATGTAATAATTTTTCTTGCCTTGGAATTTTTTCATAACACTTTTTCCTTCCCTGAATTTTCTCCCAAAGACTAAATGAAATAGTTGGTAAATTTTCCTGTATCTTTCTGATCATTTTCCACAAGGTGTTGGCATATGTAGAAAAAAATACATTTAAGATTGGTAATCAAGATTGGCTATCTAGTGTCTTAGTTATTGTTTTTTAATACATTTTCAGAGCTTTAAGTCAGTGAGCAACATATAAAGGGTAAATTTGTTAGTTTAATTTCTGTTACAGCAAGAGAAAAAAATTGGCTTTTGAAATTTTACACAAATATTTCCAAGAAATTTGTTATTAAAATATACTATTAGAATGTATCACATATAATTTATGTAAAAGTAACTTTTGAAAGAACACTTACCATTGTCATCTTCTCCAAAAGGTTTAATTTTTCGGTATCCAGAAGATGACTATGAGTCCTTTCCACTCTCAGAATCTGTGCCTCTCTTCTGCCTGCCTATGGGAGCCACCATTGAATGTTGGGATCCTCAAACCAAATACCCACTTCCAGTTTTTTCAACTTTTGTCCTGACAGGTTCTTCAGCTGAAAAGGTATGTTTTTGTTTTAGTGATTAAACCTATTTTGTCTGTGTTTTTATCCTATAAAGTGATTAATATGACATAAGCTTTATTTGAATGTTAGAATTATTGGGACAGAAGACATTAAATTTGTACTGTAATGCCCAAAGTAGAAATCAGATGGAAATTGTCATCAATGTGGTTATGTCTCTAGAACTTCTGCACAGTAAATATAGTCTCCTTGGAGAGATATGCCCCCAAACCCAGACCTCAGAATTAAATTATTATAACAGTTCAGAGTCATAGATACCAAGGCAAGAATCAGCATAATGCAGTACAAAGTTAGATTAGCGCTTCAAGACATTGAAATGATAGAATGACAATATAAAAGATATTTTATATTGAATATATGATTGAAGTGATTCAAGGCCTAAAAGTGACTCAAAATATCAAGGAAAGAGCATATGTTTAACAAATAAGTAGATTGGAAAAAGGAAATATAGTCTTTAAAATTCAGTGAATTGTTTCAGTGACAGACAAGTTATATCTGAAAGGAGAGTCAGTGTAGTGGGAGATAGATTTTCTTTTTTTGTTTCCTTTTAGTGCTGGGGATCAAATCCAGGGCTCTGCACATGCTAGGCTAGTACTCTGAGAGGTAGATTTTTTTTTTTTTTTTTGGTGGAACTAGGGTTTCAACTCTAGGTCTCTTGCTTGATAGGCAGGTGCTCTACCATTTGAGTCACACACCCTAGCCCTTTTTTGCTTTGTTTACTTTTTTAGTTAGGCTAAGTGCTTTTAGTTAGTTGCAATCAGACTGTGATCCTCTCACCTAAGGCCTTCTGATACAGCTGGGACCACAGGCATTGCCAACATGCCTGGCTTGTCAATTGAGATGGGATCTTGCTAACTTCTTTTTCCTGGGTCAGCCTTGAATCCTGGTCTTCCTGATCACCACCTCCTGAGTAGGATTGTAGTCATGAGCCAAGATCGATTTTCTTAAATGTGTCACAAACAAAGGTAAAAACATACAAAGGAATTAAAAATGTGGAGAGCAGAATCACAAGATCCAGTAAGTGTTTAATAAGTTCTAAATAGTGAGACTAGAAAAGAAAAAGACAACCAACACATATTGGTTGGTTGAAAATTTTCCAAAGATGGTAGAAAGTTAAATTTTTCATTAAAGATGCTCTCTGAACTTTCAGCAGAAAAATAAATTAATAAATAAAAATCATCTTTTCTCACGTCATAAGTAAAACCATGAAACACCAAAGACAAAAACAGATAAAAAGACAGTAACTGTCTTATATAAAACATATTGTATAAAGCAGTCATGATATATAAAATGATAGGTTAAATAAAGAGAAGGCAAAAAGAGAGATAACAGCAGAAACTGGAAAAACTAAAACTTTCATAGGAAATCTGATAAAGTAAGCAATGTTATTGAAAAAACATAACTAACCAAAGTTGATTTATGTGGCTCAAACAGTCTATCCGTGGCCTTGTACTATAAATTTATAATCTCTGTATTAAGGATAGTGTATATAAAGTATCCAGCATAGTGTCTGGAACATCATTAATAAATAGTAAGTGAAGGTCCGTGTTATGTTTATTTGTTGCCTACAACCAAGTTAACTTAGTAGCTCAGTAATCATTTATAGTTTCTCTGGTTGAACTGAAAAATTAAAAACCTTCAAATGCTTAAAGAGTTAGCAATTTATTTTGACCAATAGATCACAACAAAGCTCATTGAGATGTGATTATTGGTGGTCTGCTAGGTTTATTCATTAGTTAGGAGATACTGGTACTTAAGTGTTGACATGAAAGGAATTTCTGCACATGCTTTTGTTACAAACTCTGAGATTACTTTGGTGGTACTGGGATTTGAATTAGGACCTTGGGCTTGCTAGGTCTGAGATCACTTTGAAATAGTTGTATCTGATAATGTTGCGTCTGTCAAGGCAAGGGTTAATGTGCTGTATTTTAAATGACAAGTAGTTAGAAGATGTGTAAAATTACAGAGAGGATTGATTGTGAGAAGGAAGGCATGGGTATGATAGAAATGCTTCACAAAGGAAGTGATATCTTACCAATATCAGAAGGAACCACCAAAAAATACAAAGACACAGCATTATGAAATAGTGTATGTCACTAGTTGATATTATTATAGGTCTGTGTCATTTTACATGACTAGTAGGTGCTACCCAGAATTGAGAGCATCATGCCATTCACAGGGACTGTGACATTTTACCTGTCCAAGCTGCATCCCCAGCCCCACTGTGGGCTTTTGAAAGATCAAGTTAGTAGCTTAAAAGGACTATCCATAGTGGGGTTTCTATGAGACTGGGACTTACTACAGTAGTTCCTTTGAGATGTGGTGAGTGAAAGTGGAGATGAGAATGACTTCCAGGTTTCTGAGTGAGACTGGGAAGCATTATTATTGAATGAGATTGGGAGCATTGGAAGAAGCATGTATGTAATGAGCTCACTTTTGAAATAATGGTTTTTGATACTTAGGGAACATTCATTTAGAGATGTTGCCAAATCATTTGGAAATAAGAGTTGAGTTTAGGAGAAAGTCAGACAGAACTAGATATAAAGAATAAAGATTTGTGTTTTGTAAGTATAGTGGTTATAGTTAAAACCCTGAGAGAATGAAAATTTCCCAACAGAATTAGAAGAGAAGTGTGAAATTAGAACCCTGGGAAAAGCCAATATTTAAGTTATGGGTAACAGAATTGGATCTAGTATAGAAAAGAAAAAAGTCACCAGAGAATAAAGAGAAATTTAAGTATCGTCAAAGATAACAAAGGAATAAAGAGTTTAAAGATAGGACTGTCAGCTGTGTGTTGTGTTATAAAGAGATCAAAAGGAATTAAGTACTGAAGGTATTTCAGCTAGAAATATTTTGGTGGGACTAGGGTTTGGATTCAGGGCTTCAAGCTTGCAAAGTAGATGCTCTACTGCTTGAGCCACACCTCCAGACCTTCATTGGAGCTCTTGATCAGAATTGCTTTAGTGGAAATAAAATGTAGATTGTAGTGGATTGAGTCTTTAAAAAAATTAGAGATACTTAATGTAGATGAACAACTCAGTTAAAGGTGTGTGACCAAAAAATCTGGGAGAAGTAAGTAATTAAGACCATATAGGGGCCTGAAAGTTGAAAATTACTGAAGGGATAAAGGGAATAAAACGTTTACATATGACTGACAAACAGGTGTGGCTTATGTCATATATTAAAAATTAACTCAATGATACAGCACTTGCCTAGTATGTTCAAAGCCTTGGGTTGGATCCCAAGCTTCATAAAACAAATAAAAATAAAAAACCAAAACCCACACTAAATTGAACATGTTTCAAAGACTTCAAGAGCTAAAATCAAAAACTCTTAGCAAAACACTTAGAGGAAAATCTTCATGATATTGGACTGGCTGGTAATTTTTAAAATTTTTTGGATAAGACTGGGGTTTGAACTTAGGGCTTTGTGCTTTACAAAGTACAAAGCAGGCACTCTACTGCTTGAGCCATGCTTCCAGTCCATTTTGTTCTGGTTGTATTGGAAATGGGGTCTTAAACTGCAATCCTCCTGATCTCAGCTTTCCAAGTAGCTAGGATTATAAGTGTGAGCCACCGGTGCACGGCTGAGAAATTAATTTTTAAAAACAAACTCAAGTCTTAACAACAGAATTCTGTTACTCTATAGGTATATGGAGCTGCCATCCAGTTTTATGAACCTTATTCTCGGGAACTTCTAACAGAGAAACAGCTTATGCAACTGGGCCTGTTGACACCTGTGGAGAGAAAAATGGTCTTCAAATCCATCAATTCAAACAAATGCATTTGTTTACTTTCACACTGGCCTTTTTTTGACGCTTTTAGAAAATTTCTTATGTTTATTTACAAACTTTCCGTGTCTGGACCACATCCTCTTCCCATTGAAAAGTACGTATAATGATTAGAGTGCTGTCTGGTGGAAAACTAGATGTATAAATGTGCATTTCATTGTTTAACCTTTAGCTGTAAAGTTGCCAGGGAAGGTGAGTCATAGTCACCCTACTTTTTACTTTCTCCCTTCTCTACCTGAATCATTAACAGAACTTAAAATTGAAGAGTGTTGGTAAAGATGGTCAAATATGACTCAAATTTTGAGAATTCAGCTGAAGAAGTAACTCATAAAAATTTGTTGCATGTATTCTTCCTATGTATTCTCTAATATACCATCTATACAAGTGGCAATCCTAGTTTTAAGTATAAAACATCCCTAAACTGATGTAGAAATTAGTAAGAGTGAGTTTCCTTTGATTGGTAATTCTCTTTATTGTAGAAATCTTTTGTAATCAAGTAAAATAGATGTGGAGCCACCTGTTTTAAACTGTCTTTTCTGACTCCTAGTGGCACAGTACTTCTTTTGATTGTTGTATATAACTTACGTACTCTTACAACAAAGCAAGAAGTATCAAAAGCTTTGTAAACTTACCACAATTTGATATAGAAATAGGGTTTCAACTTTAATATACTCATGGAATGTTGATTTAACAGTTCATAGTTCTATTAAACTATTAAAGTTCATTTAACTTGTATTTGTCAGATTAATTTGAAAATTTTTAAGTAAAATTCCATATTAGTGACAAGTTAGTAAGCTTAAGAATCAAGATTCTTTGACTAGTTTGTGAAAATAAAGTCACTGTATGTGCTTTTTCTTTTTTATTTATATATTTTGGTCTGTATTGGCATTTGAACATAGACCTTGTACTTGCTAGGCAGGTGCTTTACCACTTGAGCTACACCCCCACCAGTGTTTTTCAGTTAAGAGCTTAGAACTTTGGAGAGACTTAAACATTATTTCAAGGTGGAGATACAGAGTGGATAAGTGGTTTGTTCAAAGTCCTACTAGTAAATCTAGGATTAATTCTGTATTAGTGTTAATACACTATATCACAGTAAGTTGCTCCTTTATTGGCACTGATAACTAGAGGTGTAAAAATTAGCTTCCTTCTGAGAGCTGTTTTTCTGGTATTTTATTTTTCTGGTAAATTATTAAGTACATCGTACATTTCAGAATTTTAGTGGGCATTTATTTACATTAAGATACTTTCTTTAACATAAGTTAATGATATTTGGTGATTTTGGGGGTGGGGAATTGAGATAGGGTCTTCCTATGTAGTCTAGGCTAGCCTCAAACTCACAGTCCTCCTGCCTCAGCCTTCCAAGTGCTGGGATCACAGGTGTGCATGCATGTAGTGATACTTCAGATTTTTTAAAATCTATCTAGGCACTGGTGGCTCAGGCCTATAATCCTAGCTACTTGGGAGACTTAGACCTGGAGGATAACAGTTTGAGGCCAGCCCTGGCAAATAGTTTGAGAGATTCCCCATCTCCAAAATAATCAGAGCAAAATGAATTGGAGGAGTGGCTTTAAGTAGTAGAGTACCTGCTGTGCAATCGTGAAGCCCTGACCCACCGCCCCCCTCCCCCAAAAATTGTTAAAATATATGAAGCATTTTAGAAAAGTAATTATGGTCTTTATTTCACAATCTTTTCTAGGCACATTTCACATTTTATGCAAAACATCCCTTTTCCTTCACCACAAAGACCAAGAATCCTTGTACAGGTAATGGAAAATGACTATTTTGGGAGATCTCTGCATATGCTCATTCTAGTCATTGCAGAATGGGTTCCCATAGCCCTTTGAGTTTGACATGAGGCATTATGCACTTGTAAAGTCCCTCAGTCGTTTTTATTATATAAAGCCTTACTGCATATTCTTTCTTTTATTTTATATATATATATATATATATATATATATACTGCATATTCTTTCTTAGAGAGTTTTGGATTCTAGATGTACAGGATTGGAATAATTATAATTTTGATTCACGATATTGGCATTATTGTTTATAAAGGCCATGACTAGTCTAACTTTAATAATGTAAACCCCCAAGTTCTGTTATGGTCATTCTGAATATCAGAGTGACTAATGTTAAATAAGAAATGAACTGTGGTTGGAGGAGGAATCTGAAACTGTCTATAATAGTACTTCTCAAATTGTGTATGCCACAGAACTGGTTTCTTTTTCTTTCTAATAAATGGCAGAACTACGTGTTTATATACCTTGTGATATGTATAACTTAACCATGTGAGAGCAGTATAGAATGAATACATCTGTACCCTGTCCACAGGCAGGATTCCACAGATTGTTTGCTTGGATGTAGAATTGGGGTCAGATTGCCATAAAAGTTGCTAAATGTTTTGCTTTCCATTTCTATATTATTTTCTTGGACAAAAGTTTGTATACTGGCACCTTGAGTCGTACTGGTCTAAAGAGTCAAGTTGATTAATATTTTTGTAAGATATTCTCTACATTGTATATGGTAGGGGTAAGCCAGATATTAGTGATCTTGAATGCATTTCATTTCCACAAGCATTACTATATACCAAACAACTACCATGTGCTTACCATTCTGTTGAGTAAATAAATTTAGGGGTTTATAAAAAAGCAGTTATTCTGAAAGTTTTAAGTAACTGCATTGTAGCCAATTAACTGTCAAAACTCAAATTAACAATTTAAAAAGAAATAATACAAATACCTCTAAATAAATATAGCTATCATTTTACATCTTAGTATGTTTCAAAAATATCTGTCTGCATATTAAACTAGTTTCTATTTTCCCTTGATCTATTAATTTCAAAATTGCTTTGGTTAATTTATCTTTTTCTGTTTGTTTAAGCTGTCAGTCCATGATGCATTAATATTATCACAGCCAGTTTCTACACCTTTACCACTAAGGTAATTAATGATATTTCTTCTTTCTTTCCTCCCTCCTTGTTTGGTGCTGGACCTCTCACATACTAGACATGAACTATACCAGTGAGTCACACCACCATCCCAATTAATAGTATTTAAAATGCTATATTTATTCATGTGGAGCAGAATGCTGGGCTAGGATGATAGAGGTAGGGATATTTTACAAAGTAAGTAAGGCTAGCCTTAATGTTTCTATCTTCAATACTTAGGTAGGTGGTGTGGTTGTTTTAAAAATGTAATATTTAAGCGAATTGCAAGATAAGGGAGTACTTTTCTTCTTATCTCCTCTTCCCATATCCAGTTTATAACTAAGTGTTCAAAGTGAACTGATTTTTTGACTATTACAAAAGTTCATTATGAAAATGTGCATGACCCAATATTTACTTCATAGTAAGACAGGCCCTTTGGAGAAAGGGGCATGGATTTCTGCTGAACAGCCATTATTTAAACTCTTTCCAAGGCTTCTAACAATGATACTGTTTTCTCACATTACCAACATTCCCATATTGTTCTGTTCACTAGTTGCCATCTCCACACATTCATCTATCATAAGATTCATAAAAGGATCAAATCCAAAAATATTCCTTAGATCTGTCTGTCACCATTTAATTTCAATAATTTCTTCTGCATAATTTTTTTTTTTTTTGGCTTGAGAGGGTGAGCTTTGCTCATGGTGTTTACTCAGCAAGCTCAGGGATTCTTTAAAGTGAACTGATTTTAATGTTGTAAATACCTTGAATCTATTTGTCTCTCTTCATTTGCATCACTAGTCTAGGCTAGAATGTGTACTTATCTGAACTGCTTAATGATTAGCCTCTTTCTTGATCCTTTCACTTCTCTTCCTTCAATTCTTTATTCATCCTGCTTCCAGTGTGTCCTTTTGAGAATGCAAATACAATTGTGTCATTTTTATTTTAGCCTAATCTCTAGTTTATGCAATTCCTTGGTTCATAACCAACACTAGCCTTTTCTTGCTCCAGGACTTCTGTATATGTTGTTTTCCCCTAGCCCCATTCTACCCCTACTTTCATTCTTTTGAACTCAACTCAAAAGGACTTCAGAAAAACTTTCCTGATAAATGCCCCTTTGTTACCAAAGGGTGACTTTAAGTCACCCCATTAATTACATCATTAAATTTGCTGATTTTTATTTTTCATTGCTAAGTCAAGACTTGAAATTAACACTAGATTTGCAATCTGTTAACATTTAAGAAATAATTTAATAGATCTTAATGTGTTTTAGCAAAGTAGTTACCAACCTTTTCTTTCTCCCTTTTGTCCTAGCGGAGCCAATTTTAGCACCTTGCTGATGAATCTGGGTCCTGAGAATTGTGCAACACTGCTGCTCTTGGTTTTACTTGAGAATAAGATTCTACTGCATTCTCTTAGGCCAGCTGTCTTGACTGGGGTAGCTGAAGCTGTTGTTGCTGTAAGTGTAGAATTTTCCTTTTAATTACTACAGAATTTATACTTAAAGAGAAATCTTATTCAAGAAAAGCAACTTTGAAAATTACCAGTCCAGTAAAAATTTAACTTAAATGCAATTGGATTGCAAAGAAAAATAGGAAGTATGATGAAAACAAAGGTGATTTCTGTTTGAGGAAAAATGTCATTTTCTGGTTTTTCATATTTTAGAGTTCTTCCAAGAGTAGAAACTAGGTAGTGACATGATAATAAAACTTGTAAGCCTAGCATGGTGGTGCATGCTATAATCCTCTTACTCGGGAGGTATAAGCAAGAGGATCTTGAGTTCAAGGTCAGCCTTGCCTATAAAGTGAGATCCTGTCTCAAAACAAAACAAACAAACAAAAGCCCTTGTAAATAAACTTAGAATATTAAGCAAGAAGCTCTTGTCATTTTCAGCTTAAATTTTGCAAATTAATTAAATGGTTAATTTCTCCTCATTTTAACTTTTAATCATTGTATCTAGTAGTATGTAGGACTTTATTATGAATAGGATAATAAAAAATGTTTAGCTCTTGCTTAGCTCTTAAAGTCCTCCCAGTTTAAAAACTCTGATGCCTTTTTGTTTTTTCTGGACTTAGAAAGATACCTGGTCAGATAGACCTTTTTTCTTTCTTTCTTTTTTTTTTTTGGGGGGTGAAACTGGGCTTTGCAAAGCAGGTGCTGTATCACTTGAGGCACACCTCCAGTCCATTTTGCTTTGGTTGTTTTGGTGATTGAGTCTTGTAAACTATTTGCTTGGCTGGCCTCAAACCATGATGTCAGCCTCCCAAGTCAATAGGATTATAGGTGTGAGCCACTGGTGTGTGGCCAATATACTGCTTTTTTGTTTGCTTTTTGAGATAGGGTCTCACTGTGTAACCCAGACCTGCGTGGAACTTGCTGTATAGTCAGGCTGGCCTCAAATTTGAGATCCTTCTGTTTCAGCCTCCTGCTGAGTTTATATGTGTGCACAACCATGCCTGATCTCTTCACCCTATTTTTAGAATGTAAGTCTCATGGAAGTAAGGACCCAGTGTCTTACTTACCTTTGTATTCTCAGCACTCATTTCATTTGCCTTGTGTGGAGTAGGCACTCAGTAAGTACTTGTTAAAACAACAAATGGGGAGTATGTCTCCAAGTGTTTAAATTGACCTGAGAAATCCTGCTAGAACTGAAAGTAATAACCATATTAATATGGCTTCTGAGGATCTTCATTAAATATTATTTTCCAGCTGATAATGATGGTACACATCGTAATCTCAGCACCATGGAGGCTGAGGCAGGAGGACAAGTTTGAGGCTAGCTTGGGCTATGTAGTTTGGGACTACTCTGTGGTGTATAGTGGGACCCTGTCTCAAAAAACAAACAAGGGATTACTTTGGCAAGTCTCCACACATGTGAAAGCAAAAGTTGTTGTCATGAAATGTTTGTTAGTGAACTGACTAGTTTCAAAAAGTGCCCACTCAAATATTCCTTCCTAAAATATTAATGTTTATCTATACCCTTTTGTCAGAATCTTTGTTGCCCAGACTCTTGACTGATTTCAGCAATACAATGCAAGTTCAGACAGAAAAAATGGAAAGTGGAATTGGTAATCTTAGAAAAAAGAGTCAAGACTATACAGATTTATGTAACTGATTTGGGAGAACTATCTGGATTGCATGCAAAACCATTGATAATCAGGATTTGGTAGTTAGGCAAGAAAAAATTGGAAAGAAGATGATAGGATAAATGCTTTGAAAGGAAAATGATTTGAGTATCAAAGAATTAATGGAGACCCGTAGCAAAAATTGATGAAACTCATAAGTGTTTTTTAAAAAAATATCCTATTTGTGATGGTGTTGTGAAAGTCAAAGGTGAAGAGAAAGATGTCCTGTGTTGCTGTTACATAGTTGTGAGAGTTCTGAGTTGCAGGTGTAGCATGTTTCTTGCTGAGTAGGCAGTAGTTTTCACTCAAGGACATCTTCAGGCCTTGCCAGGTCCTTTAGCAGTCTGATCTCATTTTCCACTACTCTTTCCACTTGCTTACTCTGTGAAGTTACACTGCCTTTCTGTTACTCCTGGAGCTGTCCTCAAGCTTAAGGGCTTTACCCTATCCTCCCCTTGGCTAAATCCCTCACCTTCTTCAGGCCTCAGCTTAATTGTAACTTTCCTAGTGAGGCTGTTCTATTTGTCTTAATACACCTTGCTTTTCTTTCTTTTGCTCTGAACTTTAACCACCTTCACATAGCTTTACATTTTCTTTTTCTATAGCACCATCACTTTCTGACATGGTATATGGTATATTATGTCATTTATTATGCTTTTTATTTTTCACCTATTTCTATCAGACCAATGATTAGCAAACTATGGCTAAATCCTGACTCCCATGATTTTTCAAATAACAAAGTTTTGTTGGAACATAGGTATTTATTTGCATATTATCTAATACTGTTTTCTTGCACAACAGCAGAGTTGTGACAGAATGCAAGGCCTAAAATATCTGCTGCTTTTTACAGGAAAAAAGTAGATTAAAATCCTAGACTATGAGGGTAAGAGAGCAGTCTCCTTGTTGTATTCACTACTCTGGTTTGATCTTTAAGAATAGTGCTTGGCTAATAAGGTTGTTAGTAAATGATTAAAGACCTGTAATAACTGGCAGAGGTAGTAAGTGCTGTACACATTTCTTTGGGGTGGGCAATAATGGGTAAGGGTAAGAACTAAACCAGACCTTGTAAGACAGCAAGGATTTTTATAGTAGAAAAAAAGTCAGTGATTGAAGTTTTAATGCTAGCTGATTATTTAAAAATTTTAATCCTTATCTAAAACTTTTTTTTTTGTTGTACTGGGGTTTGAATTCAGGACTTGTGCTTGCTATTGCTAGGCAGCCTCTCTACTGCTTGAGCTATACAAGCAGCCTAGAACTTTTTTTTTTTAAGCACATACAATACAATTAAGGTAGGGCTTTGTAAAGGAAAACTGATAATAATTCTTGAAGAATGTTTATATTGACTTTTTTTTTGGCCCTGGGCTGGCCCCAAACCTCTATTCTCCTGATCTCTGTATCCCAAGTAGCTAGGATTACAGGTGTGAGCCACCAGCATCCTGCTCCACATTCTTTTTTTTTTTTTAATCCTTGGTACTCTTAGTTTGATTTTGGTCAAAGGTTATTTTGAGAACTAATAACTGGATAAAATATGTAAGTTTTATGATTTTGGGGGCAGTTTTATCTTTGAGTGTTTTCATCAAATGAGGATGTGGGCTTTATGTAGGTTTCTGAAGAACAAACATGCAAAGAGCTGTTAGTGTTTTTATTGTGCTTGTGATTGTTGTCATGCTTGACATTTTTAATCTCACGGGCTTATAGTATCGCTTACTGATATTTTATAGTCATTTATATTGGGAAAACAAGAATTCACTGCTTTTCAGTGGTCCCTTTCAGTAACATTGGTTAATTATATAATTTCCATTGCAAATTTAAAATTTGGTTAATTTTCAAAACTTTTTTCCCAGATGATCTTTCCATTTCAGTGGCAGTGCCCATACATCCCCCTTTGTCCTCTTTCCCTGGCCGCAGTGCTCAGTGCACCTGTACCGTTTATAGTTGGAGTTGATTCACGATATTTTGATCTTCATGACCCACCACCAGATGTTGTTTGCATTGACTTGGATACAAACATGTTATATGTGTAAGTTGACTCGTCTTATGTTATCTCCCATTGATAGTTGTCACCATGTGTAGTTAGTGTTTTGCAAACATCTAGAAATGTGCTAGGGTTTTTTCTTTTTGTTTTTTAATGTTCTGTTTTTAAGAGTTGTTAATTTTCATCTTTAATATAGCAATGCTCAAGCAGGGGATGTATCAGAATCTGGGAAAGCTGTATGGTTTGAAAAGAAAACGTTTAATTTTGAAGTATTATGTAATGTTAACAGTAAGTGGGAGATAATTGTCTTTATCAGAAGAGATTATGGATTTGAAAAAACTGTTAAATTGCTTTCAGAGCTCAAGAGATGACACACTGTCTAGGTCATCCTAGATATCCATATGTAAGTAAATGAGATTTACCTGTTTGAGGTGAATGAAGTTTAATCTTTTGTGTGATAGTACATCATTTTCTTAATTGTCCAGGATTTGAATTTTACAAAGATCTATTCTTACTGCATAACAATTAATGGCAGGACTGAGTCATAGTTTGCATTTGCTGAAGGTAATAAGTAAGTACAGCAGTGGTGTAGATGAGGAATCAAGCATTTCATGCCACGTTAAGGAAGCTCTGGATGAATGCTTTAGGGCCCCTCCCCTTTGTCTTCCCTCCCCCACAAAGGGATAGGAATATTGAAAATTTAGAGTTGTGCCACATTCCTTGTCCTGGACCACTTATATTTTTTACTGTTTGAGATGGCAAAAAATGACTAGATTAAAATTTTGGGTGAGGCCTGTGTGATCACAGCAATAGAAGTGGTTGGGCAGATTCATGTACATGAACTGTATATGTTCATAAACTGTGAAGGATAGTTTATAGCCCAAGGCTATAATCCTAGCTACTGGGAGGCAGAGATCAGTATTAGACTGTCTTGAAGTTTTTTTGATGAGGGGTTAGGATCTTGCTATGTTACCCAGGCTGACCAACACTGTCTTAATGATTTTAAATTGAAGTCAGGCAGGGGTGCAGCTCAGTGATGAAGAACTTATTGGCTCCTTGGCACTTTAGGAGCACATCTGAGTGGTTTTACAGTGACCATATGGCCCTCAAACCTAAAACATTCACTATCTTGTCCTTTATAGTAAGAGTTTGCCATAATAGATTTAAGTAAATTCTCTTCTATTGATGATGATGGTTATGAGTTTTTTAAAAATCATAAGGATTGGATTTTATAAATACTTTTTTTGCTCTGTGTGGTAAATTACATTATAAAAATCAATTAGTAGTAAATAATCTTTGCATTTCCAAAACATTGCTATGCTCTTTTTTATATACAGTAGATTAAATTTGTGTAAGAATTTAAGATTGTGTTGAATTTATATGTGATTTTGGCTTTAGTTCTAGCCCATGTTTGATATATAATGCTTTCTTTTTTTGTTTAGTGCTGCTAGGCAAGTGCTCTCCCACTGATATATATTCCCAGCACAATGCTTTTATTTTTATAGAGTTTAATACTAAATATTCTTGATGTCTATCAAATCTCTTATTTGACTCATGCATTGTTTAAAAGTGTGGGGTTTTTTTTCTGACTGGTGGCTTACTTCTATAATCCCAGCAATACTCAGGAAATAGAGGCAGGAGGATTGTGAGTTTGAGGTCAAAATGCTAGACCCTGTCTCAAAAACACAAGACTAAACAACCACTATTAATCCAGAGTGTGCTTTTGAATTTCCAAGTGGTTTTAGAAAAATGCTAAGTTGAATTCTGGTCAAAACATATTCTATGTGTTATTTTAAATGTGTTCTATTTTTATTATTTGTTGAAATTTGCTTTGGAGCCAAGTATATCGTCAGTTGTAAATAGTTCATAAGAAAGAGTCTTAAGAAATTGACAAAAGACCAGTAACCCAATAAAAAGGTAGGCAAAGGTTGTGAAGTCTTTTCATAGAAAAGTAAAAATAAGAAGTTTTAAACACCTTATCTATTCTGAGAAGAATGCTAAATCACTTCTGCATTTAGACACTGCTTTTTTACTTTTCAGATTGGTCAAAAAACCCAAAAGAAATAACCCATTATTTCTTTGAGGCTATTGGGATGATGTAGATAGTCTTAGACTTTTTGCAGACTATATGTGATCAAGGACAGATGTTTGGCAGTATTTATAAAAAACACAAGCCGCTGTACATTTTTTGATTCAGCAATTCTGCTTATGGGACTTTATCCTAAAGTTTTAGTTTATGTAAATGATGTTTGCATAAGGTTACGAACTATGGGCTTGGGAATATAGCCTAGTGATAGAGTGCTTGCCTATTATTGACAGGGCACATGAAGTCCTGGGTGTGCTCAGCACTGGGGAAAAAAAAAAAAGAAAAAGAAAAAGTTACTTACTGTAGCATTCATTCAGAATAGGGAGGGAAAAAAAGTACGGTGTCACAAAGTATGAAATGGGATAGCCATACAGTGAGATCCTACTTATAAACACAATAAAGTGAGTGAACTGCTTTCCATGGTGGGTAAGAGCACAAAAGGTGTAAAATTGTGCATTGCAGGTTGCTGTTACTTGTGAAAAGAAGAAAGGGCAGAGATAATTATATATGCATATGCTAGTATTTGCTTGTTTTACAATGTACAGGAAACTAGTGATTATCTCTGAGATGAGAGAGAGCAGAGCCGATAGGAATAAGGTCTGCACATGCACTTTAAAACTTTGTTTTAATTAATTAATTAGTCTAATTTTGAGACAGTCTTGCCATGTAATCTAGACTGGGCTTGAACTTGCTCTGCTGCTGCCTTAGTGCTGGAATTTGCAGGCTTGTACCCATGCTCAGCTTTAACATTATTTTTGAACTAGGCAATCATGTTAGCCATATTTTTTAAAAGTGGATTTGTCAATTGCACTTTATAGTTATTTAGACATTTCCGTTACGTTATGTGGCACATTCAAGATTAAATGAGTATTCTATTACATAATTATTTTTCCTAAGTCCCTAGGTTTTTTTTTTTTTTTTTTGACCATACTGTAATCAAAATCATGGCCTTGCATATACTAGGCAAGTACTCTATCATTGAGCTACACCCCAGCTATACCTACTGCTCTTTGTGTTAGTCTGTGACATTAATACTTTGCATTAATTAGTACATTAATATTTCCTGTGTCTTTCCCTTTGAGTTTCATTTTTTCTGAATATCATATATAACTGGCATTAAAAATCTAATTTAGGGCTGGGGTGTAGCTCAAGTGGTAGAGTGCCTGCCTAGCAAACCCCTGCACACCCCTCTCCCTTCAAAAAAAAAAGGAGTTTGTAAAACACATGATAAAGGTGTTAAAGTAGGTATCTTTTACAGTACCTGGAACATAGAGGTGTTAACCATTTTATTAGTTGTCTTGGCAGAGAGTTTATTATGCTTGTTTCTTTACTGGTGCAGTTACCATGCCAGGAATACTGGAAGTTAATTTTTTTTTCAGGGGGGTTGATTTACTTGGACCATATTGGTAGTGTGCAGTCAAACTCTAAAGGTTGGCAATTCTATAGTAATGAATTCTTGGGGAGAACCCTCCTCCCCTAATTGAAATCTAAGCTGAGCCAGCCTTACAAGAGTTTCAATTTTATTTGAATGTCTCAGTTTTAACTGAGATAGTCAAACCAAGACTGTCTCCTGTTTGATGAGAGGCCTTTAAAATCCAAGGCTTTCTGCAGATGTGACCTTGGTGTTACTCTGGATTCCAGTCACTGAAGACTTCCCTGATTGCCTTGCCAGTGAAACTATTTAAAAAACACCTTCAACCTCAGATAAACTATAAATTTAAAAGAAAGTTTATTATATTTATGCTAACTTTTGTAAGAAGAGAGCTTTTCAAGCCATTGTCTCTGCTATATTTTTTATTCCTGGATTATGAAAAATTTAAAACAAGCTTCTAGTAACACCTTTAAAAATAATCATTTCTATGCCTTTTGGGTTTTTTTTTTTTTTTAATGCTGAAGTTTGAACTCGGGGCCTACACCTTGAGGCCTACACCTTGAGGCACTCTGCCATATTCTGTGATGGTTTTTTTTGAGATAGTGTTTTGTGAACTGTTTGCCTGGGCTGGCTTTGAACGGTTATCCTCCTCATCTCTGCCTCCTGAGTAGCTTGGATTACAGGTGTGAGCCAATGGCACCTGGCAATAATAGCCCCACTTGTAGGTTGGTTTTTTTTTGTTGTTGTTTTGGCACTGGGGTTTGAACTCAGGGCCTTGTGCTTGCTAGGCAAGCGCTCTACCACTTGAGCCACTCTGCCAACTGATCATAGATTATATTAAATAATGGTGTGATTGATTTGTAGTTTTTATATTTCTAGTGGTATTGGGGTTTGAACTCTCACATTTGTGAAGCAGGTGCTCTACTACTTGAGCCACCCTTCCTAGCTCTTTTGGCTTTGGTTATTTTGGAGATAAGGTCTTGCTTTTTGCCCAGGCCTGCACCACTGCACCCAGCTATTGGTTGAGGTGTGATCTTGTGAAATTCCTGCATAAGATGTTCTTGAACCAAGATCCTCCTGATCTTAGCTTCCCAAGTAGTGAGGATGACAGGCATTAGCCACCAGTGCCTTCCCAGCTTGATTTATTTTTAACCATTAGAAGAATTAAGTGAATTAAATGTACTTTTAATTCTTAAATTCTGGTCTCTCAGTTTGAGTAGCTAGTATTTTAGAAGCCTACTAATAGGTAGTTTGATGTCTCAAGTCAGTTGTACTCAACATTTAAAATGTTATAATTCTGAAATGTAACTTTTTTTGGCACCACTGAGATTTGAACTCAGATCATCATGTTTGTTAGCAGGCAGTCTACCACTTGAGCCACTCTGCCAGTCCTTTTCTGTGATGGATTTTTTTGAGATAGTGTCTTTTGAACTATTTGCCTGGGGCTAGCTTCAAAATGAGATCCTCTGGAACTCTGCCTCCTGAGTAGCTAGAATTACAGGTTGAAATGTAACTTTGAAGTAAGACTTCAATTCAATATTAAACCCCTAACTTTCACCTTGAACATCCATGTTGGAGGCTTAGAATGAATAGGGATTTGCCTGAGGTTGATTAAAATGAAACTTCCTTGAAAAACACTATTCAAAGCTGCCTGTATCATATGTAAGTGCAGTTAAAATGTCCTTTTCCTTTTCTAAGTTTGGCATAAGAATTTTGTTTGGTAAAAAACAGATACCTATGACAGATTTTATTAATTATGTTTTTATTTAATAGATCAGATGAAAAGAAGAACATGAACTGGAAGCAGCTTCCCAAAAAGCCATGCAAAAATCTACTTGGCACCTTAAGGAAATTGTATCCCCAGATATGCTCAGGTAAATGTGAAGAAAGGATTTTTTTTTTTTTTTTCCTGTTAGGTGGGATGTGGCTTGATGGGGCTGGAACCCAAGAAAGGACTTTTTTGTTATTTCTTTTTTGAGACACGGTATTCCTATGTAGTCCAGGCTGGCCTAGAATTTGTGATCCTCCTGCCTCAGCTTCCTGAGAGCTGAGATTAGAGGAATTACACCACAGTTTAAAAAGGATTTTTCTGAGTATAAAATGGGACTTCATAAAACTAAAAAGCTTCTGCTCAACAAGAGAAATGTTCTCTAAACTGAAGAGAATACCCACAGAGTGGGAGAAAATATTTGCCAGCTACACATCAGACAAAGGACTGATAACCAGAATATATAGGGAACTTAAAAAACTAAATTCTCCCAAAACTAATGAACCAATAAAGAAATGGGCAAGTGAACTAAACAGAACTTTCTCAAAAGAAGAAATTCACATGGCCAAAATCACATGAAAAAATGGTCACCATCTGTAGCCATAAAGGAAATGCAAATCAAAACCACATTAAGATTCCACCTCACCCCTGTTAGAATAGCCATCATTAGCAACACCACCAACAATAGGTGCTGGCAGGATGTGGGGAAAAGGAACCCTCTTACACTGCTGGTGGGAATGCAAACTAGTGCAGCCCTCTGGAAAAAAATTTGGAGGCTTCTTAAAAATCCAAACACAGATCTGCCATATGATCCAGCAGTACCACTCTTTGGGATATACCAAAAGGAATGCAACTCAGGTTACTCCAGAGGCACCTGCACACCCATGTTTATTGCAGCACTATTCACAATTGCCAAGTTATGGAAACAGCCAAGATGCCCCACTACTGATGAATGGATTAAGAAAATATGGTATTTATACACAATGGAATTCTACTCAGCCATGAAGAAGAATGAAATCTTATCATTCACAAGTAAATGGATGGAATGGAGAACATCTTCCTGAGTGAGATTAGCCAGGCTCAGAAGACCAAAAATCATATGTTCTCTCTCTACGTGACATTAGATCAGGGCAAATACAACAAGGGTACTGGACTTTGGTCACATGATAAGGCAAGAGCATACAGGGAGGTATGAGGATAGGTAAGAAACCCAAAAAAACCCGATAGCATTTGATGTCCTCAATGCAGAGAAACTAAAGCAGAAACTTTAAAACGACAGAGGCCAATAGGAGAAGGGGACCAGGAACTAGAGAAAAGGTTAGTTTGAGAAGAATCAACTTAGAATGTAACACATATATACATGAAAGCAATGCGAGGAATCTTTCTATATAGCTATCCTCATCTCAACTAGCAAAAACCCTTGTTCCTTCTTATTATTGTTCATACTCTCTCTTCAACAAAATTAGAGATAAGGGCAAAACAGTTTCTGCCTGGAAGCGAGGCGGCGGGGGGAACAGGGGAGAAATGACCCAAATATTGTATGCACATATGAATAAAAAGATATATTTAAAAAGAAAAAAAGAAAGGATTTTTCTTCACAGTGCTGGGGATGGAATTCTGACCTTGGGCATGTTAGGCAAGTGTTGTATGACTGAAATATATCTCTAGCCCTGGGTTTTTTTGAAACAGTCTCACTATGTAGCCCAAGTTAGCTTTGAACTCATTACCGTCCTATGTGTGCCTCACAAAGAAAGGAATAGTTTTTGTTTTTTGGTGGTACTGGGTATTGAACTCAGGACCTACACCTTGAGCCATTCCACCAGCCTCTCCCCTTTTTTTATGATGGGTTTTTTTGAGATAGGGTCTCTCGAACTATTTGCGCAGGCTGGCTTTGAACCTGAGGACCTCCTGGTCTCTGCCTCCTGAATAGCTAGGATTATAGGCATGAGCCACCGGTGTCCATCTAGAGTAGTTTTAATGAATGAATGTGTATGGAAATACCATATATTGTATACATAATGTATATGTATGTCATATACATTAAATGTACCATTAAATACCATTTTTTCTACTTAAAAAGTCTTATTACATAGTTGAGTTCTAGTAATAAGAAATTATTGTGTGATTAATGAGTTTTAACCACACATTTCCTGTTCTCTGCCTGCTTGAGCCTCCCTGCTAACCTTTGTCGATGATTTCTCTTTTTCTTTCTTTTGAGACTGGTTTGCTGTGTAGCCCAGGCTGTCTCAAAAAGTTCCTGTCCTGCTGCCTCAGCCTTATGAGGCTGGGATTACAGTTATGCTGCACCACACTGGGCTTTCAAAGACCTCTATATGTTAATGCACAGAGGAATTTCAAGAAGTTGTGGGCAGTTCAACAGGTGGTGGCCAACATCTGTAATCTCAGGCTTTGGGAAGCTGAGGCTGGTGAATCAAAAGTTTGAGGCCAGCCAGGGCCTCAAACACAGTGAAACCCTATCTCTAAAAAATAAATTTGTGTCAAACTCCAGTTGTAAAACATGTTGTGGACTTCATTTTGATTATTTCCTTAATCAATCAATCAATCATTGTATAAATAGAGATTATATATTAGTGCCATTTTTTTTGTTTTTACTTCCTTTTTCAGTACACCGAAAAACTCCAGAAGGGTCAGCGATTGAGATGACTCCAATTGAAGCAGATTTTTCCTGGCAAAAAAAGATGACACAATTTGAGATGGAAACTCAAGAGGCATTTTTGCGGTTTATGGCATCTATTTTAAAAGGTTATAGAACATACCTTAGACCAATCACAGAGGCTCCTTCAAATAAAGCCACAGCTGTGGATTCATTATTTGATCGACAGGGTGAGTAGCATAATGCAGTTGTTTTTTTTTTTTTGCAGTACTGGGCTTTGGACTCAGGACCTTCACCTTAAGCCACTACACCAGCTCTTTTTTTGTGTGATGGATTTTTTCGAGATAGGGTCTCATGAACTGTTTGCCTGGACTGGCTTCCAGCTGTGATCCTCCTGATCTTTGCCTTCTAAATAACTAGGATTAAAGGCATTAGCCACCAGTGCCTGCTGTTTTTTTTTTTTTTTTTTTTAATAGCATATTAAAGGTTTTTGTCTTTATAATAGAAATGGTTTACTTTCTTCAGGCAGATCCCACCTCCTAATAGCCGATTCAGTATGAATTCATCATTAACCCATTAGTGATGCCTTCATGATCCAATCTTTATTTATTTGTTTATTTTGTAGTACCAGGGATCGAACCAGGGCCTCATGCAAAGTTAAGCAAGCACTCTACCACTAAGCCATGTCTAAACCCCCAGTCACTTCTTAATAGCTCCACTAGCTAGGGACCACATGAGCCTTTTTGTGGACACCACATATCCAGATCATAATAGTGTGGAAGAATGATGATGTTAGGGATCAGGCATGGTGGCTAACTTCTGTAATTCCAGCTACTCAGAGGTGAAAATCAGGGGGATTGTGATTCAAGACCAGTGTGGGTAAAAAGTTCTTGACATCCCATCTCAACCAGTAAAAGCTGGGCATGGAGGTTCTCAGTCATTTCAGCTATATGGGAAGTATAAATAGGAGGATTGTACTCCAGGCTGGCCTGAGTATAAACACAAAACCCTATTAAAAAAATAACTAAAGCAAAAAGAGTAGGGTATGGCTTGAGTGCTAAAACGCTTGTCTAGCAAGCACAAGGTCCTGATTTCAAACCCCAGTACTGCCAAAATAAACAAATACCTAAATAATGATAAAAATGAGATGAGAATTTGAATCAAGTGCCCGGGTCTTCAGTGAATGAAGGAGAGTTTACTGATGTCAGTTGGTGACTGTGATCAGTAGAAGAAAGGGGAGATTAACTAGATACTTGATCCTCAACTGAGCAGAATTTTTGTTGGATATAGTAATAATGGTCGGGTGGTGATACAGAGGAAGGACATTGACCTTTTGCTCAAGAATGTCAGAGAAGAATTTCTATTTGAGGCTGTGGGCTACAGGCTCCTCAGAGGGGATTCAGAATTCAGTAAAAAGGTTAGTAATATAAGTTAATTGTTTGTTGGTTTGTTTTCATGGTTGAATCAGGCAGACAGACCTATCTATGATTACTAGAAGGTTCTCAAAATGTGGATTTATATATAGAGAATGTAATGTAGCTAAGTATAAATTTTAAATGTTTAATAACACTTTAGTTCTACTTTAAAATTTGAATTTAATTCTTACTTTGTTTTCAGGATTTTTAAAAAGTCGAGATCGTGCCTATACAAAATTCTATACCCTTTTATCCAAAACACAGATTTTTATTCGTTTCATTGAAGAATGCAGTTTTGTAAGTGATAAAGATACTGGATTGGCATTTTTTGATGACTGTATAGAGAAGGTAAAAAATTTGTCTTGTATTTCAATGTTAAGAAAAAAGTGTTTGGTTTACCTGTATAATCATTATTATTACTAGCCCAAAGTCATTTGAAGAAACCACGTAGGTGTGTCTGTATCTGTGAGTCTGGGCTTAATATAAGAGTCATTTTCCTTTGTGGTATCTAGTTGTTACCACACAAAGTTAATTTTTCTTTTTAAATCTTATTCTAGATTTGTACATATTAAGTATTCAGAACACTTCCTTCAGCTTCCTAAGTCTTGTTATATTATTTATTTAGGTTTTATTAATTGGGCTTGTTTTTAATTACAGAGTTTTAGTTTTAGAGGTAATGGAAGTCCTGTGTTCTTTGTTGTAATGTCTTTCCACATACTTTTGTTAATATTTTTCTCTTGTCCTAATAGAGGGTATTTGGAAATATTTGTGTGTGTTACTGGGGTTTGAACTCAAAGCTTTGTTTTTGCTAGGTACACGCTCTACTATTTGAGCCACGATCTTAGCCCTAAATTTTAAAGTTTTACCTATTATCCTAAGGAAGCTAAAGGGTTTGTGTGTGTGTGTGTGGTAGTGGTGGTGGGGGTGGTTCCGTTTTTTGTTTTTGTTTTTATATCTTGTTTTGGTACTGAGGTGTGAACTCAGGCCCTTGTACTTGCTAGGCAGGTGTTCTACCGTTGAACTTTGCCCCAGCTAGATTTTTAACAGTGATTTTTTTTTTGTAGTAGTGGGTTTGAATTCAGGGCCTCATGCTTGCTAGGCAGCCACTCTACCACTTGAGCTATTCCACCAGCCCACTTTTTTCTAATTTTTAATAGGATTCTTATTTTTGCTAAGTAGATCTTGGGTTTATTGTTTACCCAAACTATATGTAAAATTTTAGATTGTGTTCGTAAAAGGCAGAATATTCTGACATTTAACTTTTATGGACTCTTAATGATTCATATGTCTTAGAAGACTTGAATAGCTTTCTTCCACTCTTGTTAATGTGATCTAAAGCTCTGAAGATATGATTAAAATTGTTCAACATTTTTCTTTATAAAATTAATATTCTAACATCTTCCACTTGGATGGGAAACTTAGATAATATCAGTCAATAATGCAGTTCTTTATTTGAGAAGCCAGATTCTCTTTGTGACTGGCCATCTTTTTTTTTTTTTTTTTGTCAGTAAAGTTTATGAAAGAATTAATCAAATGTGGGCATGGTGGTACATGTCTATAATCCCAGCACTTGGAAGACTGAGGCAGGAAGATTTGAGTTCAAGACAAAGGTTGGGTTACATAGTAAATTCCAGGCTAGTTAATCAGACCCTGTCTGATTAATGGAGCTAATTAAAATAATGGAGCTAATTAAAAAAATGGAGCTAATTAAAATAAATTATTTTCTATTTCCATTGTTTTGTGTTTTTGTTTTTATGATACTGGGGATTGAAGCCAGGGCTTTAGGCATGCTAGGCAAACACTGCACCTCTTGAGGTATGTCTCTAGTCCTTTGCTTTTCTTCTTTTTGGGATAGTCCATGCTAGTCCACCAAGCATAGCTTTATTTTCTACTAGTCTGAGACAAATATGCTTTAATCTTACAGTAGAGGACCTAAAAATGTATTGTAAAATGTTTTGTATCTACCTGCTACTGAAAATAAAACACTAGTTTTAAATCAGGATTTAAGATAAAAATCTCTATTAAATTCACAGGGTAGATTTTTATTAAAAATCTTTTTGTCCTTTTCTAGTTGTTTCCTGATAAAGGCATGGAGAAAACAGATAAGGTATTTCTTTTTTTAAAATTTGAGTGTTGAAATTTCAGAAATAGATCTTGCTTAATTTCTCCAAATTAATTGGAGAAAATAATTATTTTTCAGGTTGATTTGGATTCAGCAGAAGACACCAAGTTGATAGAACTAGATGACTCACAGAAAAGTGAGCACACTGTGTTTATAATGCCACCTGAGCCACCTCCTGATGATGGAAAGGACCTGTCACCAAAGTTCAGGTAGTACACATTTTTTTAAGAGCTACTTGAGCATAGCTTGGATATTTTATTTCAATTTTTTGCCATTATTAATAGATGTGTATCTTTGTAATTTGTTAAGGTCATTTTAAGTATTCAGAGAACTAATAGAGATGAATATTTTATGGAGATGCCACTAGTTATTATAATTTAAGAATTGGATGGACTTGAAAGGGAGGCCTGATTGATCATTATTCACCTAAATATTTAACCATATTTTAATCGTTAAAATTTTCAGTTCTGAAGAAGAAAAAATTTTAACTTTTTTGTGAGATTTTCCCATTCCCTTTGGGAGTTTTGTTGTTAGTATAAATACTGTGAAATTGTTATGAATTAGGAAGACGGAGAAAATGTAAAAGACATCTAGAGAATCATTGCTAAAATCTAAAGAATGAGATGTGGATGGGAATCCTTTAAGAAACTAGAATGAATTTGATTGTTTATTATTATATTCATACTAGTACACAGTTTAATACACTTATAAAATCAAACAAGAGAAATCTAATGTGTCATTTTAGTGTCAGTACTTGTATGTGTTAATAACTATGTGCAAGTTCATGCATGTGTTGTGTGTATGAGTTCATCTATTCTTTGTAACCCATGTTTGCCTTTGATAGTCTGAACATTTTTCCATGCCCTTCAATTTTTTGTGCCTTACCATTTTTAATGACCATATCGCATGTAATCATTATAATTTAACTAGTTTCCTTTGGATTTGTTTGTAGTTCTTTTCTATCTATATCTTTGTGAACATATATAGTTATTTTCTTAGGCTAAATTCCTAAAAGAATTCTGATAAGGGAAAGTATAACAAGTATCTTCCTAAAATATGGAATTAATATATGAGAATATACACATGAGAATGAAGCATATATATCTGGAACTGAGAGTAGCTTAGTTAAGTACTATTTTGATTTCATGTTATAGACTTCAATTTTACAAATCAAACAAGAAAAGGCAATATCTCCTAGAACAAAATTGGTTAAATAAGATAGACTATTTATAAGAGGAAGTCCAAAGACAATAATATGAAAATATATCCAGCTTTTCTAATGTTTGAAGAATTGTAAGCCAAACTGATGACTACAAGTATTTTTTAAGTATCTGACTGAGGATAGATTATATTGTTTGTTAGAGTATATATTAAATATTACCTTTCTGAAAATTGTTTAATAATGATTATAATTTTAGTTTTCTTGAGAAACATAGACCTAGTAAATTCTTTTATTAGGTGTTTATCCTAAGAAATTAAGTAAAATTGTTCACAAAGGCATGCATACAAAAATATTTAGTTACAGACATTCAGATATAGCCTAATAATATCTGGCAGTTGGTTAAATGACATTACATCCCCAAAATAAAAATACTGTGCTTTTTTTCCTTTTTTTTTGGCAGCACTGGGGTTTGAACTCAGGGCCCCACACTTGCTAGGCAGCCTTGTACCACTTGAGCCACTGTGCCAGCTCCGCTTTTTTTCCTTTTAAATACCAATGCAAGATAATTTTGTTGAGAAAATTTAAAAGTTACAAAGTATGTTAATTGTTATTTTTAATATAATTATCGTTGAACACATGGATTCTATTCAAAGAGTTATTAATTCCTCTGTTAAGTAAAATGTAAAGAGATTTCTGCTTCCAGGGATTGGTTGAAAATAATGATATGGCGGGGAAGAATTTGAGTTTCTATGTAGGAAGTTTATATATCTTATAGCTATATGTTCTTATATTTTTGAAAAAAAAATCTTAATATATAAGGATTTTTAAAAATATTACTGGGTACTAATTGAGCTTTGGAAATATTTACCTAAGTTCTGGACTAATATGAAGAGTTAATGTATTTCGAATCAGCAGTTCTATTTTTGCTTTTTATTTTAGTTACACATACTTTCCAAGACTGGACCTTAAGCTTTTTGACAGACCACAGGAGTTGAAAATTTGTTTTAGTAGACACCCTACTGGGAATAGTATTACAAACAGTCCAGCTCTCATGGCTAAAAGAACTAAACAGGTCAGCTATTCTTTATCTAATACGTGTTATTTTAAAATGTAAAACATGTACATGTTATCTACAGCTTGTAGTGTAGAGCTACCACCTTCAGCAACCATTTGAAGACCCACTGCGCTGCTTACTGGACTTAGCTATATTTTCTTGCACCCCTCTGCTTTAAAAAAAATCGTTGGAAACCAAATATACTTTAAGATATACAACTTTATTGAGATACAGTTCCCATACCACCCACTTAAACTGTACAGTTCAATGGCTTTCAGTGTTGTATTTACAGTGTTGTCCAACCCCACCACGACAATTAATTTTAGAAATATAAATAACCCCAGAAAGAAAGCCATATCTTTTAGGTGTTAACCCCCACAGCCTTTATTCCCCACAGCCCTCAGCAACATCTAATCTATTTTCTGTCTCCACAGATGTGTCTATTCTAGGTATTTCCTATAAATAGGATTATACAGTATGTGTTCTTTTGTGGTTGTCTTCTTTCACTTAGCATAATGTTTTCAAGGTCCATCCGTCTTATAGCATGTATCAGTTCTTCATTTCTGACTGCATAATATTCCATTGTATGGACATACCACATATTATTTTTCCATTCATGGATATTTAGGTGGTTCCTACTTTTTGGCTATTAAATGTAATGCTGTTATGAACATTTGTGTACAAGTATTTGTGTGAATGTATGTTTTCACTTCTCTTGGGTGTATATCTAGAAGTAGAATTGCTATGTCAAATACCAACTTTGTACCTGATCTTTTGAGGAAATGCCAGGCTACTTTCCAAAGTGGCTATTCCATTTTACATTCCCACCAACATCATATGATGTTTCAAATGAATAATAACCTTGTTAGTTCTTACTATGTATCTTCTTAAATTATAGCTATCTAGTGGATAGCAAGTGATATTGTGGTTTTGATAACTCTTTCACTGGTGGCTGATATAAATATACTTTACAGTAAATATTACATTCTAAAGGGAACTAATGGGAGAAAACAGGATAACTTAGACATATTGTTTTACTACTGTATCTGATTTTATTGTACTGGGATTTGAACTCAGGTTCTGAGGCTGGCTAGGCAGGCATTCTACCACTTGAGGGACTCCAGCCCTCATTATAAAATTAGTCCATGGTTAAGTATATATTTAAATCAAACATCCTTAAACTGGGCCTGGTGGTGCATGCCTATAATCCCAGCACTCGGAATGTGGAGGCAGGAAGATTTCAAGCTGTAGGTCAGCCCGGGCTACTTTGTGAAAGCTTGTCTCAAAAAATAAACAACAACAAATTAAAAAAAAAAAAACAGCCATCTAAAACTAAACATTCTTTATTCATACACTGATATTTTGAGGTTCTTCAAAGCATGGAAAATTTCATAATGAAATTATTATTTGAGGTTTTACTAATTCCTGGATAATTCTCCAAATCTTAGGGTTATTGTTAGGTATTCCTTAATTTCATGCAATTGGAGTTTCTTTCAGTGTTGTTCGAAGGAAAACAACATTGTTTAGTGAAGGCAAGTTTCTAAAATGGGATAATTTTGCCAGTCAGCTTCTAAAACTCATGTGCAGCTAGGTATTGGTGGCTCACACCTGTAATCTTAGCTACTCAAGAGGCAGAGATGAGGAGGATTGCAATTTGAAGCTAGCCAGGGCAAATAGTTCATGAGAACCTATTAAAAACTACCCAATACAAAAAAGGGCTGGTAGAGTGAGTGGCTGAACGTGCAGGCCATGAGTTCAAACCCCAGTATCACACAAAAAACCCATTAAAAAAGCCTTCATTTTCAGCAGGACCCCTTCTCCCACTAGCTGGGAAAGAAAAGGACCTTAAGGTCTTAGAAAAGCAAGTGCTATTTTCAAATATGTCTTCTTACTTAGAATACATCTCAGCAGAGGAATCTTCAGTGCAAGGTGTACAGTGGCATTCTGACATATCTGAAGGGCTTTATACAATTTGATAAGTCATCAGTAGATGATTTTGGTAACTAGTCTTTCTTCCGCCTAAGTCAGAATGAAAATCAAAAATAGAAAGCGTGATTAGCAAACTATCAGGAAGTCCTGTTATCTTTCTCAGATTATGTTGACTGCAAATGAGTAAGTACTTTTTATTTATATAGCAATGTTGGGGATTGAACCCAGGGCCTCACAGACCTAGGCAACTTCTGTATCACTGAGCTACACTCCCACCCAGGAATAAATATTTTGTTGTATTTATTAATTTTTTTTTTTGCTTCTGAGGTAGGGTCTCTATATGTCACCCAGGCTGTCTTTGAACTCATGAACCTACTGCCTCAGCCTCCCAAGTAGCTGGACCAACCATATGCCATCTCACCCTCATAGAATAACTATTTTATTTTGAGACAAAGTGTCACAGTGTAGTCCAGGCTGCCCTTGAACTCACTATTTTGCCCACGCTGGCCTTGAACTCCCCATTCTCCTTCCTCAGCCTCCTGAGTGCTGGGATTACAATAAGTATGAGGAATTAGTCAGTGAGACAATTGATATAGACTGTAGGTAGGGAGGGAAGGTTGAGTGGAAATCTTGACAGGAAATAGCTTAGGATCATAAACTTTAGCAGGGAGAAGAGTGAGAATACTGCTTTTCAAGATTGGGGTAGTAGAACTCATAAACTATAAATGAGTAAGTCTGGGGTGTATAGCTTTAGTTATCCTTTTATCCATCAAACATGTGCCTTTTGTATCAAGAGCATCTTATGTGTATTATGAAAATGAGTGATATTTGCTCTTAGGGCTTCTCTAGTCTAGTAGAAGACACATACTTGCCAAAAAAGAAAAAGTAAAACTATGAAATGCTTGGTTTTAGGGTCAAATTTTACATTAAAAATTTATTTCCCACTTTCTTCTTACTTTCTCCGCCCCAATGGATTTCAGTAAAAACCATAATGTGTTATTTATTCTTTTTCTAGGAGATAAAAACAGCTCATAAATTGGCGAAGAGATGTTATACAAATCCACCACAATGGGCCAAGTGTCTGTTCAGTCATTGTTACAGTTTATGGTTTATTTGTCTCCCAGCCTATGTTAGAGTTTCTCATCTTAAGGTCAGAGCACTTCAACAGGCATATGATGTACTTATTAAGATGAGGAAAATAGAAGTGGATCCACTAGATGAGGCAAGTAGAACAAATGTAGCTATTCTTATAAACAGTTTTCTTTTCTAGTGTTGGGGATTGAATGAAGGACTTGGTCATGCTAGACCAAGCACTTTTACCACTGAACTATATCCCCAGCCCACAAGATAAATTTTGTTTTTGTGCTTTTAAAAAAGTTTAGCTCTTGGTTGCTTTAAAATACGCTCATTAAGCAGGAAAGGTCAAACTGCTGCTTTGTTTCATAAGCTATTACATACTATATATTTTTAAATATATTTATTAAAAAATAACTGCTTTGGAATGAAGCAAAGACCTACTTACTTTTCCCTCAAGGAATGGAAAATAATACTGATTTCATTTTATTCTTAATATAACTTTATTAAGGAACAGATAGGAAATAGACCTTTTGCAAGTGGTTCTCTCCTTAGGACCAGTGTCCTATGGTGGATTATGTAACCTGTCGGTGTTTCAGAGTGTTCATCTGAAAATATAGCCACTAGTTTCTCAACTTTGGCACAATTGATGTTTTGACTCAGGTAATTAATAATTTTGGGGGATCTCTGTCTCCTCCTTTTTAGATGTCAGTGACATCCTCATCTCCCTTTCATGGGTCATGACGATAAAAAATGCCTCCCTGTCAATGTCCTCTGGAAAACACAGTTGCCCCTGGAAAACTACTGATGTAGATAACAGTAGAACTTTCTTCAATAAGGCTGATTTTCAAGGTTAAATCAAGTTGATTACACAGGTAGTGCCCAGCACTAGTAAGCACTCAGTGAATAGTGTGCTAGACATTTTCATGCATTATCTCTTATTAAATCTCAGAATAGCACTAAGAGATAGGTACTGATTCTATTCAGGTAACAGTTGCGGAAACTGAGGTGCTTAGTTTTTCTCTGCTCTTTTGCTCTTTAGAAATTATTTTGGTGTTACAGGAACTACAAATAATGCTTAGAGCCAGATTAGAACTTAATTTGAAGTCTTTGCTAATAATAGTACAATGTATTTAATTTTCTTGTCATTCTTTTTAAGATATGTTTACAGATCCTAGAATTACTGTCTTTAGTGCCTTTGGCATACAACATAAAGCTTGGTGATTGAGGAGAGAGTTGTTTTGATCATACTTAATTTTGGAAAACAATTCTCAGATTATGAAGAATAATAGTCATTCTCTTTGTCGATGTACTTGCTCAAATAAATGAGATGTGCACATAGGTCTTATTTGAAAGAGTTAATACTGATGAATAATTAAAAGTAGTTTACTAAGACGCCAGATCAGAACAGAAGATAAAATAGTGCTTAATAACTTCATGAAAAGAACTAAGTAGAGTCTTTAAAACAATCTCTTAAGTTAGAGATACACTAATACTAACTTTGATGTTATTTCTTCTTAGGTGTGCTATCGAGTTGTAATGCAGCTTTGTGGACTTTGGGGTTATCCTGTTTTAGCAGTGAGAGTCTTATTTGAAATGAAAACTGCTAAAATAAAGCCAAATGCTATTACTTATGGTTATTATAATAAGGTAAGTAGGATAGATATTAAGCAATACCTGTTACTTACTAGGAGTGGCAATTTTTATATCTTTATATTTCTCATTATTCAGGAACCTTTTTTCTTTTCTTTTTTTTGTGGCACTGGGGTTTGAACTCAGGGCCTCACACTTGCTAAGCAGCTACTCTACCACTTGAGCTACTCTGCCAGCCCCAGGAAGCTTTTCTTAAGTGGAGGTTTTGGGGACATAATTCTTTTTTCCATCATAATTGACAAAAATTGTATATATTGTGTCCATGTTTTCAAGTATATATATTGTGGAATTGCTCACTCAGGCTAATGAGCATATATATTTCTGCATTTACTTTTTTGTGTTAAGAACACTCAGTCTCTAATTTTATTAGTTTTAAAGTAAAATGCATTGTTACTAAGAATACAGTAGATCTCTTAAATTTAATCCTCCTACCTAACTGAAATTTTTTGATTAACCCACCCCTAAGTCCTGTAACTACCACTGTCCTGTGAGTTATATTGTTTTATCTTCCACATTTAAGTGTGATCATGCTGTGTCTGGCTGTTTTACTTAGCATAATGCCTTCAAGGTTCACCTGTGTTGTTGTAAGACACAGGATATCACTCTTTTTCTTAAGGCCAAATGGCCTTCCATTGTGTATATGGACACTTAGGCTGATTCCATATCTTGTCTATTGTGAACAGTTCATCAGTAAACATGGGGATACAGCTGTTATAGGTCCTGATTTAATTTTCTTTGGGTGCATATACGGTAGTGAGACTGCTGGATTATGTGGTATTCTGTTTTTAGTTTTTTAAGGACCTCCTTACTATTTTCCATAATGGCTATACTAATTTATATTCCCACCAAAAAGGTACAAGGCTTCTCTTTTCTCTATATATTCACCAATATTATTATTCTTTTTAATAATACCCATCCCCCATACAACTAATATATGCTAGTAAAAATATTAAAATAATAGTAACAGGTGTGAGGTGATATTTTATTGTGGTTTTAATTTGCTTTTTTCCTAATGACTAGTGATGTTGAGTGTTATTCGTCTGTTTGTTTTTGGTTTTTTGAGACAAGGTCTCACTATGTAGTCTAAGCTGGCCTAAAACTAGTGATACTCCTGCTTCAGCCTCCTGAATGTGAAATTATAGGTGTGCTCAGCTGTTGGTTGACATAATCTTTATATATTTATGTGATGTTTTAAGTCAAATAATTCCTAATGAAACTTTTTTTTTAACCTTTCTTATAACTTTAGGTAGTTTTGGAGAGCCAATGGCCTAGTAGTACCCGCAGTGGTATCTTCTTATGGACGAAAGTACGGAATGTGGTACATGGTTTGGCACAATTTAGAAAGCCACTTAAAAAGACTTTGCAAAAGTTACAGGTCTCCTCAATACCAGGTAATATATTTGATTGGAGAGATACTTTCTTTTTGAATTATAGCTTTATAAATATATGAGTTTTTAATTATATGAAGAAGAAATTAAGTGAAATTTTGGTTGATATGTTCATATACAACTAAATGCCGATTACCTTAGTCCAAAAAACACTTTTTTTTTTTTTTTCAGAAACCTAGAAAATGTTCTGTGGGCCATTCATGTTTAGCCTTAGAGATATCAGTGCATGAGTTACTGAATTACATTGTCCTTGTATTTAGCGCCTCAGAATGCCACAGGTGGAAGTGATGGGGACGCGGTGAGCCATGGTAGCATGGATAGTTCTAATGATGCTAACAATGGGGAGCACACTGTCTTCGTCAGAGATTTGATCAGCCTTGATTCCATTGATAATCACTCTAGCACAGGTACTAAAATCTGTATTTTACTAACCCATCACTTACTGTCACGTTAAGTCCTTTTTCAAAATGTTTTACCCTCCTTGAGTTAGTACAACATGAATATTTTTAAAGTAATACATATTAATAAGAGAAGAAATTATACTTATGTACTTCTCTTATTTCCTATAGTACATAATTAACTTGGAGTGCTGTGCACAGTGCTCTAGCATGATGCTCTTTTTAAAAATATATTCACATTTATTATTGTTCACTCTGCCCCATTACATACTCTTCCTATTACCTTCTCTGTTGATTTTTTTTTTGTGGGTGGTACTGGGGTTTGAACTCAGGGCCTCATGCTTAGTAGCAGGCTCTCTACCACTTGAGCCACTCCACCAGCCCATGATGCTCTTTGTATTTGTTCATCATTAATACTTGTTAGGAATTGTGAACTAATGAACTTGAACATTATTGTCACAACTTGTTAATCTTTTTATTAAATGGAAAATATATCTTAGAACTTTGAATAGGAATACTTTGAGTATGAATATTAAAGAGGAAATAAAATAAGTCTTACATCATGTGAACAGGTATTCTGTTTACTTTAAAACACATGTTTTCTTTAAATCTGAGAAGCTACTTGTATGTAGGTAACCATGGGCATAACCTTTATCCTCTGAAGTTAGAAATAAGTGTAATTAAAGTAGCACTTTGAGCAGATAAATGTGTGTTGCACATCCTTCTTCTTGTGTTTTTTGTGGTATCGGTGGTTGTTGTTTAATATCTTAAGCCTTCCTTTAAAAAGAATTCTGAGTCTAATTCCTGTGCTTCATCTGATAAACGTGTCTCAGTGACTGAAGTTTCCTTTTCTCTGCTCTATGTTGCTCTGCTTTTTGCTCTGTGCTGTTTCTTGGTGCTGCATTTGTCCTTGGCTGTCATGGTGTGGGGTGCAGACAGACTTTTATGACGTGAAGCTATGGATACACGTGTACATTAATTCTACCCTTGAATGTTAACCACTTCAGGTAATTTTCCATTTATTAGGTTACCTTTTGCTGACATTCAAGGGTGGGGGGGGCATATGTTTTATTTTAAATATTATTACAAGTGGGAAACAATTTTCATTTTCTTGGCCTTCCTCTTAGATAAGGGTAACCATCTAATGCCTAACTGAAAATATCCATCTGACATTTTATGCTCAGTTTTCAAAACACATATGTTATCTTCCTTGTTTGAAAATCTATTATGCTTTGCTGTAATTCTTACTTTAAGGTTCGTTTGTAGCCTCATTGTGTTAAATAGTGTTACTGGCACTAAAGAGGTCATTATTGCAGCCGTTTTGATACTTCATGCTTCTGAAATTGGTCTGCTTAATTTTTGTACTAAAAACTACCTTTGCATATTTACAGTATCATGTATAAATTGTTGAATCAATATAAGTACTAGGTTATGACAATCTTGCTTGTAATTAATTTTCTTAATTTTCAATCCTGTTTGTAAATTAACAAGTAGAAATTTTTATGGGACTGTAATTTTAAAAGATACCTTATTTTTCCTAATACTTTAGAAGAAATCATCTTCATATATTTAAAAAAACCCATAATTTTGGTATGAAACCAGTTTATCAGGAATAATGATAACAATAATAATGGAGGATAAATCCCCTCTCTTATTCCTCCAGTTATTTATTTATTTATTTGATGGTACTGGGGCTTGAACTCAGGGATTCACACTTGCTAGGTAGGCTTTCTACCACTTGAGCCATGCCTCCAGCCCTTTCTCTTCAGATTTTTAAGCTTGTCTCAATAAAGGCAATTTAGTCCTTTCGTGGAAAAAATTCTCTCCTAGAAATTCCTGGTAATTGGTGTAGAATTCCAATAGTTAAGGAAGAACCTTTGCCTTTTTCATATTTATACTTCTTTTTGCCTGAAATTCTAATGACTGAATTCTAGATATTGAGTTTACATGCATCTCCACCATGGGTGTTTCTTGATTCCATTTGATAGTTTGGGAGTCTTCCAGCCCAGAGGTTTAAGTTGCTCATTTTCTGAAGGATTAGCTTGTGGAATCTTTTCACTTGGTACCCAGTACTGAGTCACTGTGCTCCTTAGGGCATAACAGTTTAATCACTTCATCTCATTTCCAATCTGTTGTCCATTTCATGGCACCATGTTACAATACCACACTTTCTGAGAGGTCCAAGAAGAAAGAGACTGAAGCTAGTAATGCTAAATAGTAGTATTTGAAGAAGTTAAATTCTTTTGGCATATGGCAAACCGAATGTTTGGGTGGCAGTGTAATAAGTACTGGAAAGTGGAAAGCATATATTTTATGTGTCGTTCATTGACATTTTTTTGTTTGTTTTTTTGAGACAGGATCTTACTGTGCAGCCCAGGCTGTCCTGAACTTGCCATGTAGCCCAGGCTGGCCTCAAACTCTTAGTCCTCCTACCTCAGTCTCCCAGGTGCTGGAATTACAGGTGTGCATGACTATACCCAGCTTGTTAAAATTTTTATAGCTGATTTTTTTTTTGTACCTGGTCTTAGCTTTGATTTTAAATTATAGAAGTATAAAACCAAAGCGGATTTTTCAGAAACCTCATTTTGAAATAATTTTAAGCTTGTAAAAAGTTGCAAGAATAATTTAGAAACCTCTTGAATATGCTTTGTGTAGATTCACTCTTTTATACTTTGCTATATTCAATATGTTGTTTTCATTCTGTATGCATATACATTTATTTTTCCTGGATCATGTGAAGAGGTTATATGCATCTAACCCTTTTATCTCTTAATGCTTTAGTAGTATTTTCTCTTACATAACTGCAGTTTAGTTACCAAATTCAGTAAACATTGATAATACTACTTTAATCTATATCATATATTAAAATTTTTTCAGTTGTCCTGTGTGGTACTTTAATGTCTCTTTTATCTACTTTAGTCTGGCACAGTTTCTCGGCCTTTCTTTTATCTGTTATGACCTTGGCCTTGTTGGAAAATTAATTTTGGTTATTTTGTAGAATGTTCCTTAATTTAGGTTTTATGATACTTTCATGAGATTAGGTTAGGTTATATATACATCCATGGAAATACTTCATAAGTGATGTTGTGTCCTTCTTAGATTATTACATACTAGAGGCAGATATTGTCTGTCTGCTCCTCTAGGGTTCTAGGTGTGTATACTGCTACCCTCTCCAGGGGGTGGTATTACTGCTTCTAGACTTCTAGCAAACAGAACTAAAAAACAGTGTGTGTCTGTGTGTGTCTGTGTGTGTGTGTGTGTGTGTGTGTGTGTGTGTAAAATACACAAATGTGTATTTTAGAAATACCTCTAATTCCAAATCAGCTCTACAAAATTCTTCTTTACCGTCCCTCAGTCTATTTAAAGAAAAGAAGCTACTTCTCTCATAGTCAGACTCTTTTCTCCCAATAACATCATCACATTCATTCATTTGCTTAGTCCTAGAATATACTTAAAGCAATTTTAGGTTCATCACATCCATTTCCCTGTGGAAACAAATCTACTAAGGGTTTGATTTTTCCTCCCAGGCTTTACATATATATATATTCAAAGTAGTGTGCTTAAAAGTTACTTGGAGGACTAGGGGGCATGGCTCACATGGTAGAGTGCTTGCCCAGCAAGGGTGGAAGCCTAATTTAATCCCCAGTAACACTTCCCTATACTGCTCTCCCACACTCCCACACCACCTTGCCCCTGCCAAAAAAAGTTACTGGATTTGTTCTCTCTGGACCCTTTCAGTGTGGTTACAATATATTTCATATGAAATATGGTTGACCTCATTTGTTTCTGTTACCAATCAGCTTCAGGCCCGCCCCCTGCCCCCCATTTTGTTGCTTTAGTTTTTTTAAAATGTAGAAATGTTACATCTTCAAAAAATGAAAACAATAAAATAAACCATATTTGAAGAGGTATCCTCCCTGTTTATTTATTCTGTCCTGTTTTCTTTATATTCCTCGTAAGTAACCATTTTTATTGTTTTCTACTTTGTCATTCCGACATTCATTTTTGCAAAAGTAAGCAGTTTTCCAGAAGAGACATCAAAATATCTTGCCCAACTGCTTTAATTTATAGTTGAGGAAATTAAGGTTTAGTGTTTTCAAATGTGGAATAGTCTTTGATGTTCCTGTATTTACTGTTCTTTGCTTCATTGTTTTTCAAATGTTTTGTGTGCCCTGTGAGCTTTCTTATCTCCCTTTTCTCTAAAGTTTTAACTGTGTAAATCAGTGGTATTTTCTTTTGATACTTTATAAGTGGATTCCTAGTATATGAAGATATTTACAGGCCCGTATTCTTTTTAACAGGTGGTCATTCTGACCAAGGCTATGGGTCTAAGGATGAACTTATAAAGGAGGATGCAGAAATTCACATGCTTGAAGAACAAGTAGTACAAGAATTACTAACTAAAACAAAAGTTCAAACAGAAGGTTAAGTACTGATATATGTAAATTTTATATAGAAAATTACTTATGTTAATTAAAAATTTATCTTGTTTGATCATTTTAGTAGCAATTTTTAGGAACACTCAAGTTAGGATTATTGAATGCTAAAATAAAACATTCATTTCAGTTAATAATGATGACATTTATAACATAAAGTAAGCCACAAACAATAAATGAGAAGTAAAATAGTCATGTACTCACCTCCACTTGAAGAAAAAATACATACATATATATCTATATAGGTAGATTCACATAGATCTTCAATATTGGCAAAAGTAGGAATGATAATGTCGGTGTGTTTTTTCACAGAGGTGCGTGATGTATGTGCTATTGTAGCAAAACACTCACAACCTAGTCCAGAGCCTCAGAGTTCTACTGAACCCCTTGCATGGGGCAGCAGTATTGTGAAAGTCTCATCTGGTATATTTGATATGCACAACAGGAAAAGTAGCAATGGTGAGTCTTTATATATTTTATTAAATATGTAGAATGTCTTTAATGACATATGTTTGTTAATCATAATAGACCTGCTAAAAACTCAGAAGTAAATCAGAATCCTATAAATGGGGTATTGAAGAATTTAAAACCTGTTATTTAAGGGTATAGTCTGGAGCCAGGTATGGTAGCATATGCCTATAATCCCAGCACTAAGGGAGGCTGAGGCAAATGAATCTTCTTTTTGAGGGCAGGCTAGGCTATGTAACAAGTTCAAGGCTTTTCTGACCTGCATAGAGAGACTCTTGTCTCAAAAAAAAAAAAAGAAAAAATCAGGCATTGATGCCTCAGGCCTGTAATCTTAGGTGCTTGGGAGGCTGAGATCAGGAGTATCATGGTTCCAGGTCAGCCCAGGCAAAAAATTTTCAAGATCATAGCTTAATGAAAAAACTGGACATAGTGGTGAGTGCCTGTCACCCCAGCAATGGCAGGAAGCATAAAATAGAAGGAAAATGGCCCAGGCCATCCTGGGCAAAAAGTGAGACTACAGGTCTAAAATAACCAGTACAAAGGGAAAAAAAAAGGGCTGGAGGGTGGCTCAAGTGGTAGAGTATCTGCCTCACCCATACAAAGCCCTGAGTTCAAACCTAGTACTGACAACAAAAAGGTATCCATAGATTCTCTTATCTACCAACCATGAGTTGAAAATACTAGAAAAGAATTTTATCTGTATTGAACAAGTACAGTGTTTTTTCTTATCATTGTTCACTAAACAGTGCAGTATAACAACTATTTACATTGTATTAGATTTTTTAAGTAATCTAGAGATGATTTAAAACATACCTGAGAATATGTATAAGTTATATGCAAAGGCTGTGTCATTTTATATAAAACACTTGAGCATGATGTATTTCAGTCTTCATGGGATGCAAAGGGACATTCATATTTAGCTTTTTACAGGATGGGTATGTAGAATGCATTTCCTATTGGTAGTACCTGTTCTCAGTTTGGTCACTCATTTTCATCATGGATCATGAGAATACTGTAGGGTCTCCCGAACCTCTCAAAACCCCAGACAAGTTAGGTGTGGCGGTGTACACCTGTAATCCCAACTATGAGAAATAGTTGGGATATAGGTAGGAGGATCTCCGTCCAAGGCCAGCCCAGGCAAAAAGCTTGAGAACCTTTCTGAAAAAGAATTAAAAGTAAAAAGGGCTAGTGCATGGCTCAAGTGGTAGAGCACCTGCATTTAAACCTTAGTACTACCAAAACAAAAACCACAGGCACTGATGAAGTCAAGTTCCAGAAGACAGAAGGCTTTTATATGGCAGAGTAATCCTGTTATTGAAGGAAATGGAAGAAAAAGAGATGTATCATTTCCACTCTGTACAAATACAGAGTGGTCTTTAATTTTGGCCTATTTTTAACAGAGGCTCTGAACTACTTTTTATTTATGATTAAGTATTTGTAATGAACTTGTATGTGAGTTCCTTGAATTTTTGTTTACTCTTTGAATATTCTGTGATACCAAATATATCACTAATTATAGACTTTGGGGCATAGTATTCAAGAGGTGGTATTAAAAGCTTTTTGAGAACGGAATTGATGTATGTATATGTGTGTATATATACATATACATACATATATAAACATATACATAATCTGTACATACGTACATATAGATAGTATAGGTATACATACACATACACATATATGTGTGTATATCTATGGCTATCTAGCTATCTAGTATTTCTGGATCCTGTTTTCCCAGCAACAGGGTAGGAGAAAGGAGGGTAGAGTTTTCTTCAACAAGGTTGAGAAATCCTCTCCAAATACTGAAGTGGAAGTGTTTTGGTCTCTGGTGTGTTTCCTTCTCTTCTTACTCATCCTACTTTCATATTACGTCTTTATCTAGGAGGGTTGATTCCATCATAAAAAGAGCAGGTGATATTGGGGCTTTTGAAAGTATGTTAAATGGTCAGTTAATTTTAAAGTTGAAAGTAAGATTTGCTAGTAAAGTCCTGATATTTTCAAAAATCAATGATTTTTGAATGAGAGACAATGATATTTTCAAAAATCTATTTCTCATCTGTTGGCAAAGCAGATATCAATTTTGAAGTGTAAAATAGGTTTTTTAATTTCCCTAAAAGTCTTAAAAATGCTTTTTATTAGCTCTGATTAATTTACATGATTATAAGTATTAATTAGTATTAATTTGAGAGATTAAAATAATACTGAAATCAATTTGCTAGATTAAAAACAAATTGTAACCAGGCATGGTAGTGAGGCAAAGGCAGGAGGATTTGAGTTTGAGGCCAGCTTGGGCTGCATAGCAAGATCCCTTCTCAAAAAAGAAGAGAAAAAAGAAAACCCTGCATGTGTCAAAGGCAGTTCCCTCCCCCCGCCACAAGTTTCTAGTTCTTTATGCTGAGAAAAGAGGGAACACCTTTAGTATAAATGGGTGCCATTTTAGTTAGTTGGAGCAGCTTTAACATATGACTAGTGACTTACAAACCACAGAAATTCCTTACAGTTCTGGACTAGAGTACCAGCATAATGGATTTTATTGAGAGCCCTTTTCCAGATTGTAGACTGCCTGTTTCTCTTTATATCCTCATGTGGTAGAAAGAGCATGAGAACTCACTGGAGTCTTTTCTCTTTTTGGAAGTACGGGGGTTTGAACTCAGGGGTTTGTGCTTGGTAGTCAGGCGCTCTACCACTTGAGCCACTCCACCACCTTGCTGTCTCTTTTATAAGGGCTTTACATCCCATTCATGAGGGCTCCACTTTTATGACCCAATTATCTCCCAAAGGCCTACTCTCAAACCATCACATTGGGGTTAGAATTTCATCATATGATTGTCGCAGGGGAACAAATGTTCCTATGAACTTAAATTTCAAGAACAGTCAAATAGGAAATAACTTCTGGTCATGGAGTGGAAGAAAATTGGATGGTAGCAAAGAGTAAAAAGACTATTTGAATCCCCCAAAGCAGAGGGAGATCCTTAAGACGATAGTATATATTTGTTTACTCCATCCCATACTGGGGTTTTTGAGAACTGAGATTGTGTCTGCTTTATTTGCTATTGTTTTCCTAGCACCTCATACAGTAGGTACAAGTAGGCATTCAGATATTTGTTGAAAGAATGAGTATATATGAAAAAAATTAAACTACTTAAGATTTTATCAACTTTCTTAGAATTTGCCAAGTCTAAGCAATTTTCTACTTTAAAGCAGTTCTTTTATTTGAAATAGTTAAGCTTCACCGCCGGCCCCCCACCCCATGCTGGGGATCATACCCAGTGCCTTGTGTATGCCGAGCAAGCATTCTACTACTGAGCTGTATTTCCAGCCTCCTAGCAGGTATTTGTGAGTAGAGTGTAATGAAAGCTGAGATAGAAGAGATTTTTTTTTTTTGAAGTCTGCTCTTTAACTCAGAATGTTTCTTAAATAGGCTTTACAGTGTGACAAATAAGAATAGACTTATGTTTATTGATAAATGTGATATATTTAGTGAACAATATGGATATATCCAGCATATATTGCATGATCTTTTTTTTTATGTGTATCTATATGCATAGAGGATAAAGACAGGTTTTTCATGAAAATGCTATTTCTGAGAGGCAGGGTTGAATAGATTTTGGGGGAGTACTTTTTCTGTATACCTTCTAAATTTCCTGAATTTTTGTTCTCAGCATGAGTCACTTTCATAATCAGAAAAACCAACATTTTTATATGCTTCATTGGAAAACTGATTAATAATATTTAATATTTCACTGTCCCACTTAGGTAGTACATCAAATGTGCTAGTTTCTGCTCAAGATCCAGTTGAAGATGCAGTCTTTGATGAAGTTACTAATTTGAAGAAGAATGGTGATAGAGGAGAAAAAAGACAAAAGCATTTTCCAGAGAGGAGTTGTAGTTTTAGTTCTGCAAGTAGAGCAGGAATGTTACTTAAGAAGAGCAGTTTGGATTTGAATTCAAATGAAATGGCTATCATGATGGGAGCAGATGCCAAGATTCTCACAGCAGCATTGACATATCCTAAGACTAGTCAACTTCACATCACAAGGACCCATAGCTTTGAGAATGTTAGCTGTCATCTAGTGGATACAAGGACTCATGTGTCTGAAAGCACTTGGGATTCGGAACATAGATCATCTCCTGTGCTAGAGATGCTTGAGGAAAGCCAAGAGCTCTTAGAACCTGCAGTTGATGACAATGTAGCTAAAACTACTACAAGAAAGGCTACCTGTGGCAATCTGCAAAATGATAGTAACAGTAATCAGTCCAGAGACTTGAAAGCAGGATCCAAACATCCAATGAGTAAGAGAAGTAGTTCACATGGTGTTGCTAAAGCCATTGAGAGGGAAGATGTTGAAACTGGACTAGATCCTTTATCTCTTTTAGCCACTGAATGTATAGAAGAAAAAACTCCTGATTCTGAAGATAAGATGTTTTCTCCAGTTATTTCACGTAATCTGGCTGATGAAATTGAAAGTTACATGAACTTAAAAAGTCCCCTGGGTAGTAAATCTTCCAGTATGGAATTGCATGGAGAGAGAAACAGAGAGTCTGGTACTACTACTACATCTATTCACCATTTAGAAAGGAGATCAAGCCTACCTTTAGATTGTGGTTCACCAGCACAGGAAAACACAGAAAGTGAAAAGAGCCCCCCTGCAGTGTCCAGATCTAAAACTTTTACAGGGCGTTCCAAGCAACAAACTCCCCGTCGAACTTCTAAAGATCGTTCACCTTCTTTATCAGCATTGGTGCGTTCCTCACCACATAGCTCACTGGGGTCTGTAGTAAATTCGTTGTCAGGACTAAAGCTGGATGGTATACTCTCAGGACCCAAGATAGATGTCCTAAAATCTGGTATGAAACAAGCAGCAACAGTAGCCAGTAAGATGTGGGTGGCTGTAGCATCTGCCTACAGCTACTCAGATGATGAGGTAAGGAAGTCTTATGTATGTATTCTGTCTGATTTGGGGTGTTTGTAGTACATGTGTGCGTGCATATAATTTAGAGATTTCTGGTAACTGGTTTTCTTGCAGTATAAAACTGCATATTCTGTTTCTTAAAATAATTTGAACATATATGTAAGGAAATTAACAATGTAGAAGTAGGATATTGGAGTCACTTTATAATTCCATAGGTAAATATAAATTAAAACATTAAGTTTATTTCTTTGAAAGCACTAATGATTTGTATTTGAAATTAATAATGATGCCATGTTATAATTGCATAGCACTTTACTTTTTAAGTAACTTCTGCCTGTTATATCCTTAATATATATTGAGTCTTCAGTTTAATCCGTAAGTTTCATACAGTATGACAAAAAATGATTCTCTTTTAAAAATCATTGTAAGTAGAGTTGATCATTATATTTTTTTGTGAAAATGGAAGTGGTGAAATTTTGCTTATTTTACAGAGAAAAATTTAAGTTTCATCTTTGTGTTCACAGAATTACACAGTCCAGGAATATATATACATATATATACATATATATACACACAAACATATAAATATTGATTCAATTTAATAGAAACCCTATGAAGTAGTAATAAGGATATGTCCATTTTATAGACGAGTTAAGAGATTCAAAGAGGTTAATTAACGTCTCAAGATCACACAAGTAAGCTGGGCGCAGTGGCTCATGCCTGTAATCCCAGCTACTCAGGAGGCAGAGATCAGGAGGATTGTGGTTCAAAGCCAGCCCAGGCAAATAGTTTGAGAGACCCTATCTCGAAAACACCCATCACAAAAAAAAAGGACTGGTAGCATAGCTCAAGGTGAAGACCCTGAGTTCAAACCGTAGTACCGCAGACAAAGATCACACAAGTCGTGAATGAATGCCAGCACAGGATGTGAAGCCATGGAAATGGGCTTTGGAGCCCATGCTCTCACCTTAGAATCAGTGAATTAGCAGAAGACATGAAAAGCAGCAGATGAAGAGTCATGTTGGGTCTGTCCAGAAAAAGCAAAGCACATGGCATCTAAACAGGGCTTTTAAGGATGAATTTGAAATTTATGATTATTTATTATGTTAAAACAATAAGGTGGCAGAATGTTATATTTCAGAGAATAGTATAAAAAAACATGGAACCTTAAAACATCATGCATTTTTCAAGTTAATATTTCACATTGATAAAGCTCTGAACAAGGAAGTAGAAGTATGGAAAAAGAAATTGGACAAGTAAGACTTTCATGCTATTTGAAAAGAACGTAGGAGAAATATTACTTGAATTTAAAGTAATTAAATTGTGGGGTGGGGGCATAGCTCAAGTGGTAGAACAGAGACCCTGAGTTGAATCTCCAGCATAGACGGAGGGAGGGAGGAAGGAAGGAGCTTTGTATTATAACAACAGGGGGACCATTTAATTTTTGAAATCTTACCTAACAGTGTTAGAAAACATCTTTTTACATGGTCATTTGGATTTGGAATATTTGACAGTGTAAGTAGTCTCAGATCTTCAAGTAGTCTTGGATCTTGTCTTTTCATTGCTATAGTGCTGGCACCAGTAGCAGTGCCTCGCAAAGGGAAAATGTGCTATGTCTAATAAATGTTTGCAAATGAATCAGTGAATTAAAAGTCTTTAAGATGTTTATAAATTTTATCCAGAATTTAATCTAAGGAAATAGGAATATGTGTAAAGATGACTCAAAAGAGTTCATTTAAATAAGATTTAAAGCATTTCAATGTTTAAACAACAGGGGATTTACTAAATATATAACAGTACATCAGTAAAACACTGTTTACAGGAGTTTAAAAAATACAGGGAAAATAAAGTAGACTATTTAAGGACAATAAAATACATGAGAAGCATAGGTTAAAACAGTATTCTAATTTGTAAAAAATTATTACATGGTTACGGATGTATACTTGTAAGTCAGTAGAATGTATATCAAGATTGATTATACTGTTTGTTGTCAATTTTTTTTAATTTCCTCTTTTTCTGTTTTTTTTTTTTTGTGTGTGTGTGTGTGTGTGTGGTATTGGGGTTTGAACTCAAGGCCTTCACCTTGAGCCACTCCACCAGCCCTTTTTTTGTGATTTTTTTTTCCCCCAGATAGGGTCTCAAGAATTATTTGTATAGGCTGGCTTTGACTAACGATCCTCCTGATCTCTGCCTCCCAAGTAGCTAGGATTACAGGTGTGAGCCACTGGTGTCCAGCAAATACTTAATTTTTAAAAATTATTTAGCATTGTTTTATGCCAAAGAAGATACAAATCTTCTTTAAAGAAAAAAATCAAACAAAAAAGAAACTGATAATTGAAAAGTTTTTTTTTCTAAAACTTCATTTATAGTAATTAAGAAGCAGTGTTTGGAACTTTATTCATGTTTTGTGCTTCTAAAATTGATATTTGTTATTCTTAACAATCAGATTCTTCCTGGAAATTCTCAGAACAACCTAATTTGAAAGGTTTTTATATTAACTATATTTTTCATTGATGTAATTAAAAGTTAGAGAAGTTAAGTAATTTCTATGTGGTAATATGCCTAATGCGTGATGGACAGCCGTGATCATAATCTAGTTGTCTGACTCCAAAGCCCCCATCCCCCCTGGGATCTCTGATTCTGTTGGAAATTGTGAGCTCCTAGCATTCCTTTATTTTATAATATTGAGAGACACTAGACCTCGAACACCTGGGGCACAACACAGTATTGTCCATCACTTGTTATTTGGAGTATGGGAGAAAAGTTTCAAATAATAGTAAGATAAGTTAATGGTTTTGAAAAATAAAGAGATGGTTTGATTTAAATGGAATTTAATTCTGAAAGGGTAGAGTGAATATATTACCATTGGAGAAGGAATTATGTATGCATGTGAGGTTTTATTCTTTTCAATTAAAGGAAGAAAGCAGAGATTACAACTTCCCTGCTGGCCTAGAAGATCATATTTTGGGGGAGAATGTATCATCTAACACAAGTATCTCAGGGCTGGTTCCCAGTGAACTTACCCAGAGCAGCACAAGCCTTGGCAGTAGCAGCAGCAGTGGAGATGTTGGAAAACTACATCATTCAACAGGTATATTTAGTTTTGTTTTAATTTAGTTCTTTATTTGTGGAGCTGAGAGTTGAACCCAGAGCCTGGTGCATGCTAGGCAAGTGCTCTATCACGGAGCTACATCCCCAGCCCTTCTTGTTTTAATAACCTTCCCATAGCTCTTACCCCCATAAGCTCATTTGTTGATATGATCTGATAGATTTTTAATAATAGCCACATCTTACTCTTACTCTGATTTTATATGATCTATAAGTACTACAGTCACCTATTATATTTAATTTTAGCAGTACTGAAGAATTACCTAGTGAGCAATTATATATCCTCTATATAAATTTAATTAACTTATATATACACATTTATATATTTTAACATTTGAAAATAAATGGCAGGTCTCATGATACTTGCCTCCTAAACACTTATTTATTTCTAAAGCGTAAGAACATTTCTCCTGCATAATGTTTTATTTGGTTGTCTTTGTTTTTTGTTCGTTTGTTTTGTGATACTGGCGTTTAAACTCAGGTCCTGTGCTTGCTAGGCAAGGGCTCTACTACTTGAGCCACACCTCCAGCCTGTCTTCGTTTTATATGTGTGTATGTGTGCGGGGAAGGGGGCTTGCCTGTAGTAGGCAAGCACTACTGCTGAGCTCTGTCATCAACCTATAATGTGTTTTGCTGCATACTCCTCTCTAGGTGAAGTTCCATTTCCAAGAGGCATAAAGGGGCAGGACTTTGAAAAATCAGACCATGGTTCTTCTCAAAATACCAGTATGTCTAGCATCTATCAGAATTGTGCAATGGAGGTAAAAGTTCTATATTATGTTCATGATAAAGTGGCATAAATGTATTTTTATTTTAGAAGAGCATTTAACAGTATTCTGTGGACAGAATAATAAAATAAGTCAGTTTGTTGAATTAATTTGGTGTCTTGTAAGACAATTAACTAACTGGTAGTTTCACTTATAATGTAATAGAACTGTTAATTCCAGATGTGATCAATAAAATAAAATTCTGTTTATGTCAAGAGATTGTCCTGTTTCTTCTCAGCGTGGAGACTCTCATTGTCCTTATTTTCCTCTTCTTAGGTTTTGATGTCGAGTTGTTCACAATGTAGAGCTTGTGGAGCTTTAGTTTATGATGAAGAAATTATGGCTGGATGGACAGCAGATGATTCAAATTTGAATACAACCTGTCCATTCTGTAAAAGCAACTTCTTGCCTCTTCTTAATATAGAATTTAAAGACTTGAGAGGATCTGCAAGGTTAGTATTACAAATGTTCCTTCAAGATGTAAGTGCTCCCTAGACAGCATGACTCCTGAGGCAGGAGAGAACTGTTTATACCCCAAGCCTCTCATTCTTCTCCTTCCATTTTAGTACTTGATTAGAAAATGCTAGTAGGAAATGGAGACGACTACTCCATTTTATTTGGCATCATTATTAGTAGTTAATTCTTGGAACTAAACGTTGTAGGTAATCCAAAACTCTTACGTTAGGCATTATTTTAAACCTTCTGCCTTGGTGACCTTAATTATGTCTCTTAAATTGTCACTCTGATACAGTGAGATGAACAACTTCCAGGTGATAGAATGGTAGCTGGTCTGTAATCAGTCATCAAGTATTTAGAAGTTTGTTATGTAATTGAGAGACATAGCCTACCAATTTAAATGATTAAAATATCACTTTAATGTTTATATGTAAATACATTCATATTTACATTAATTTAGCTATGTTAATTTCAGTAATATTTTATTGACCAAGTGAACTTTATATTATTGTCTGCTTTTAGATTTTTTTGTTTGTTTCTTTTGTGTTACTGGGGCTTGACCTCAGGGCCTTATAGTTGCTAGGCAGGTGCTCTATTACTTGAGGCAAACCTCTAGCCCCTTGTTGTTTTGAGTCCTGGGAATTAGACCCAGGACTTTGCATATACTAATTACTTGTTCTGAGCTATATCTTCGGCCCCTTTAGTTGCTTTAAAAAAAAAACCAAAACACCTTCAAAGGTGTTTCCCCTCCATTTTTCCTTTTAGCTTCAGGAATGAAATTTAGTTTTAGTTCTTGACCACTGTCATCATTGGTCAGGGCCCTTATTTATCTTTTCCTCATTCCCATCATTCGCTTATCCAACAAAGAAACCAGCTCTGCTGTCTGTGGTATGTTCTTGACGGTACTAGGGATTGAACTCAGGCCTTGTACTTGTTAGGCAACCACTTACTCCTTGAGTCGTGTCCCAGTCTTTTTTGAGATAGACTCTTACTATAAAACCCAGACTGGCCTAGAATTCTTATTTCTTCCTGCCTTAGTCTCCTAAGTGGTAGGATTATAGTCTTGTGTCGCTTGTTTGAATTTCTCTGAATAATGGTAAGTTTGAGTATCTCTTCATTACTTGTTAGTTATTCCAGCATTTTCTTTTAGATTTAATTTTGTTTTGTTTTTGTTTCTGCTTTTTTGTTTTGTTGAGACAGGGTCTCCTGTGTAGTCCAGACTGGCCTAGTTCTTCCTATGTAGCTTAGGCTGGCCTCAAACTCACCATCCTCCTGCTTCAGCCATGAAAGTGCTAGCATTACAGGTGTATACCACCACACTTGGTTATTCCAGCATTTTCTGTGAATTACCTGCTTATGTTCCTTGCCTGTTTTTCTTTTGAGCTTATTTCTCTTGAATATTCTTAATACTAATTCCTTGAAGATAAATCATTAATTTTAATGTCATATTCCACTAACTTTGCACCTCATGAGTTGTGATTTTTGGACTTTTGTTTTCAAATTGTTCCCCATGACTTAGGCATTAATATTTTTTTCTCTCTGAATCATCTTGCGGTTCCCTGCCCTCCCTACCAGTGCTGGGTATCAAACTGAGGTTCTGTGCATGCTAGGCTGAATGTTTCTTGTATTTTACTCCTGCGATAGATATCTTTACTCCATTTGGAGTAGATGTCCAGCTTTGTCTTTTCATTAGCAATATGTGGTGTCTTCCTTATCAAGTTCCCAGTGTGCCTCACTCTGATTCTGCATTCTTGTCTGTGCTCTGTTGTTGTTACACTGTCTTTGTGTGATGGCTGCTTGGTAGTGGAGAGTTCCTCCTCTTGGATGTTTTCTTTTTTCTCCCAGTTTACAGTTACTTATTTCCTATAAATTTGAATCTCCCTACCCCCCAAAAAAATTCAACTAGTTTTCATTGAGATCACATTAGATTTATAGATTAACTGGGGGAAAATGGACTTTCAGTGTTACTATCTTATCTATGAGCAATGTACATCTCCATATTTTTCAGGTATGTTATGTCCTTTACAATATCTCAAATTATTCTCCTTTAGTCCTATACTTTTTTGTTGAGTTTTTTTTAAGCTATTGTGACAATAACCTTTTTAAAAGAAATACTTCCTAATTTGGTATAATGGAGTATTATTGATTACCCCTGCTCCCCCTCCAGTCCCCACCCTAATGTCATTATGGAAAATTTGAAGTGTATGACAAAGGTTGAAGATGGTATTGGGGCCAGGAGTACTGGGAATTATGCTGTACCACGGAACCACCCCCAGCCAGTTTAATGATTTCTTTTTTCATTGAATATTCAAATATGTCCACTGTGTATTCTCCAATTTATATTTTACTGTGCTTGCTTTACTACCTGTCTGTCTTCCTGTCTCATTACCCATCAGTCATATATTTTTATTCATTTAGAAGTATGGTAAAAGGCTGGAGGGATGGCTCAAGCAGTAGAGTGCCTGCCTGGCAAGCATGAAACCTTGATCAAACCCCAGTACAAACAAAAGTATGGTGAAGGTGTAATACACTTCTCCCCCAAAGACTTCAGAATGTACATCATCAAAGTTCAGTATTACACACAATAAAATGTATGGATCTTAAATGTACCACTTGAGGCGTAAATGCATGCATTTGTGCAAATCTAGCCCTTACATAGAATATTACCATTATCTCAGAAAATTCTCTGATGTTCTTTGTGAGGCCCTACCCTTACCCAGTGGAAGGAGGGAGAGACGATGAAAGTAAAATAATGAGCCCCAGTACTGCAAATAAATGAATGAATAAATAAATAAATAAAATAATGAATAGAGAAGAGCAGAAATGACTAGAGACAAAACAAATTAGGAAGCTGGTAAAGGTACCATAAACAATTACAGGTTATTAACATGCTGCTTTGACAGCTCTTCTCCCTTCCTGCTTCCCTCTTCTTTCCCTCAAGATCCTCCTGCCTCAGCTTCCCAATTGCTGTACCACCACACCCAGCACTCTTTTTTTTTTTAATTTAGAAATTAGTAAAATATCTTTAAATTTCCTCTTCCTTCATAGCTTTCTTTAATAGTTCTCAAAAAGTGCGAAGCAGTCTTTTATCGAACTAGTCTAGACATTTTCATTTGAAAATTTTAAGAGTAGGAGGGAGTGAAAACAGAAGTGTGTTGTTTGAAATAGTATTTCCCTTATGAATTGTCACATTCACTAATGGTTGCTTTATCATAAACTAATAATTCTAAATATGATGGAATTTTGAAGGCCTAGATTTTTACATATATTTCCCCCTGCTTTGATATTCAGCTTTTTCTTGAAGCCAAGTACCTCTGGTGACAGTTTACAGAGTGGCAGCTTGCCATCGGCTAGTGAACCCTCAGAGCACAAACCTGTTTGTGGTTCAGCAGAACCTGACTTGATCAACTTCATGGATTTCCAGAAACATAACCAGGTCATAAGTGAAGAAGCAAGCCAGGCGGTTGACTCAAGGTACCAGAGGGTGACAACTCTTTATAAGTCAAGTGCTTCCAGAAAAACTTGGAGTAAAGATGCCTGACTCATGTAGATGTCAATCCCAGCATCTGAAGATTTTAATCTGCTGGTGTGGTGCTGTGCATCTGTACTACCAGCACTCTGCAGTGGGAGGTGGAGGCAGGGGGATGGGGAGTACAAGGCCAGCCTTAACTGCATAGAGAGACTCTTGTCTCCAAAAACCAGTGACCGAGGATGTAGCTCAATGGTAGAGTGCTTGCCTCATATACACAAGGCCCTGTGTTTGATCCCCAGCCCAGAAGAACAAAAAAAGGTTTTAAAATATCTAGTGAATAAATCTGATGATAAAACATTTTTTAACTAAGTGTAGTATTTTAAGCTGTTCTTTTGTGGGGGTTGTGGTGTGTGGATGAGAGAGAATGATGGAAGAAGTCTGTCTAACCAAGGTACATTGTAAGCACATATAGAAAAGTCACAATGAAATCCCCTGTGCAAATAATACACCCTAATAAATGTTTAAAAATAACGTGTTCTTTTACAAAGTGAACTTTTAACAGTAAAAGAATTTTCTTTTGTATAAAGTGTATATTTTACTCTTTATTATTTATTTATTCATATACTTGGTTATTTATTTGGCTCCACTACTTGATCCACAACCCAGCCATTTTTTGCTTATTTTTTGGATCGGGTCTTATATTTTGGGGTTGGCCTTGCCTTGTACCTCAATCCAACTACTACCTATGCTTCCCAGAGTAGCTCGATTACAGCTGTGAACCACCATTCCTGGTTTATTAGTTGAGATGGGGTCTTGTTAACTTCTTTGGTCAAGCTGGCCTTGAACCAAGATCCTCTCAATTTCTGCTTCCTGAGTAGATGGAACTAAAGGTATGTATCGCCAGTCCCAGTCCTCTTATTTTACTCTTAAATGTTGATTAAATCAAATTTCTTGAGGACCTATTTATTCTAGGCTCTAAAAATAAAAACGTAAGTAAGATTCAAGTGTAGTGGCGCAATCCTGTGATCCTACCAGTTAGGAGGCTGAAGCAGGAAGGTCTTGACTTCAAGACGATCTTGGGAAAGAAAACAAAACAAAAAAGTAGGTGAGATCTGGTCTCTATCCTCAGGTAGATTGTGGCCTGTCAGTAAATCCACTGTACTTAATTCATGGAGTATACTTCTAGGTCATTTTGTTTAATAAAGATGAAATAATGTTGGAATAAAGCAACTGAATGGGCCTTTAATCTCTTTAAATTATAGCACATGTCCTCTTCTTACCTTTCACCAGTCATCTGTTCTTTTGACTAGATTTATTAAGATGCATAGAAAATTTTAGTTCTTTTTTCGGGGAGGTTGCTGGAGCTTGATCCCGGGGCCTCACACATGGGAGGCAAGTGCTGTACCACTGTGCTATACTTCCAGCCCAGCCCCACATTTTTTTTTTTTTTTTTGGGGGGTGTTGAAACAGGGTCTCTGTGTATCCCAGCATAGTCTCTACCTCGCAATACTCTTGCCTCAGCCTCCCAAGTGTTAGGATTACAGTTTGCACCACTCCCAGTATCAAGTAGTTCTGAGGTTATTCTGATTCTTCTCAGGTATACTTAGACTCAAAACCCATTGTAGAAAGTTCTCTACTTCTCTAGATTTACATTGTTTTTTGTGACTAACACAGCATTTCTTCATTTTTTAAAGCGATGAAATAAAGAAAGCCAGTGGAGATGTCCAAACTATGAAAATTTCATCTGTGCCTAATAGTCTATCAAAACGAAATGTATCTTTGACTCGAAGTCACAGTGTTGGAGGCCCTTTGCAAAATATTGACTTCTCCCAAAGACCATATCATGGCATATCAACAGTTAGTCTTCCAAACAGTCTGCAGGAAGCTGTGGTATGTAACCTTGCAATCTGTACGTTTACTGTGAACTCCTGTAAGTATGGGTCTGAACACTGCACACATGAAAAGTGATAGAAACATTCCCATAAGTAAGCAGAAGAGTATAACGAGTCTCTTGATCCATCAAGTTTCAGTCATTTTTAGTCATAGCCATTCTTTTATAAACTCCTCATTCACTTCCCCTTTCCTAGTTTATTTTGAAGGACATTTCAAACATGCCAGGTGTATCCTATTTGTAACTATTTCAACATGTATCTCTAAGTGATGGCTTCAAAAAAGTAATCACAATGCCATCATACCAAAAACAATAATAATATCATCAGATCATGCAGTCTTTGCTCAAATTTCTAATTGTTTCAGAAGTGTCAAATATGTCTGCATGAGGAGGTATAGTTTGAGACATCAGATCAAATAAAGTCCATGCCTTGCAGTTGTTTGGTATGTATTGTAGTCATTTTCAATCTGTAGACTTTTTCCCTCTCCTTGCAGTTTTTTAAACAACTCAGGGCCCTTTGCTTGCTAGGCAGGTGCTCTCCTTGAGTCATGCTCCCAGCCTTCCTTTGTAATTTATTTGTTCCTGAAATTGGGTCATTTGTCCTTCAAACACTACAGGTTCCACAGTCCTGATTTGACTGATTGTAACCTCATAAATTGATACTTGTGTCTAGAAATTTGATCAGATTCCGGGGTTTTTACTGTTTATTTTTTAAAGACTGGTTCATGATGGTGGTATGTTCCTACCAGTAGAAAGCATGAACTGTTTTTGTGATATTAACTATTAATGTGCTTAGATAAGTAATTATTAGGAGCTGTAAAATGATGATAATCTAATTCTCTTACTTCTTTGTTATATGAAATAGCTCTATAAAGAGAAACTTCCCAGTATCTTTATTTGGTTTTCTGAACATGGATATTGAACTGGAAAAGCAATATTGATGTTTTGTTCATTCTTCTGTTTACCACTTTTCAAAAATAGCCAGCGGGATCCCTAGCATTCTTGAAGTGATCACTTAATTTAGGTGAAGGTATCATTATGAACTTTTTAAGCATTTTTAGATTGTTGTTTAAATATACTGATGTTTTAATTAATTATTCGCTGATTCTTGATCAGCTCGAAGCTTCTATAAGTTGACTCATTAGTTGTTTTGATACAGTTCTAATAGTCTTTTTGTAATTTATGTAAAGCTTCCTTGCTTTCATTTTATTTTACCTTTTTTGGAGACAGGATTTCACCATATAGCGCAGACTAGTCTCAAACTTGGAATCCTACTGCCTCAGCCTCACAAAGGCTGGCATATATAGGCGTATGCCACTGTACCCAGTCTTCCTTGCTTTGTTATATGACAAGATGTTTCATGCTAATGTTAATGTATTTCCTTTATCTAGAGTCATTTCTTTAAGAAGAAAATTTCTTTTTAATGGGAAATGGTATTTGAGAGTACAATTTGGGCACTGGAATGCTCATTTGTTTATGACCTGATCACAAACATTTGCATAACTTTTACAAAGTCAGTGTTGGTTTTCTCGCTTTTTCATTTCTTACTTCATTTGAGTTATAAAACTTATATTTAATTCCATCATGTTTTATTATAATCAAATGTAAGTGAGTTATTTTACTTGTGTAGTATTGGGATTTAAACTCAGGGCTTTGCACTTGCTAGTAGATATAATTATAAAAGGTCTCAGAAGGAGTATTAAAAAGTTACCCCATTTGTTAGAATTGTGAAAATAAGACCATACTTCTTTTCTGTAATCATTATAAACGTTTATGAAGTGCAAATGTTTCTTGCATAAACTGAAAAGGAAAAATGCATACATATCAAACATTACACTTACCATAGAAATTAATAATACAAATTATTTTAAAAGGTCTGTGGAATATGGATTATTGATTTTTCTCTTGTAATGATTTAAGGGCATTTAAGTGGCTTTCTTTGTTTTAGGTTTTCATTCCTTAGGATGTTCTTCTGAATGTAGCAGTGGTCCTGAATAACTGATTTTAACGGATAGAGATGTTTAATCTCATTGAAAAGTACTGATAAGCATACAAGAATTAAATAGATAATATTCACTTCTTTTTATACTCTTTTAAAGGACCCTTTAGGAAAAAGGCCCAATCCTCCTCCTGTATCTGTGCCGTATTTGAGTCCTCTAGTGCTTCGTAAAGAACTTGAATCTTTGTTAGAAAACGAAGGTGATCAGGTAATTCATACATCATCTTTCATCAATCAACATCCAATCATTTTCTGGAACCTCGTGTGGTACTTCAGACGTTTGGACCTTCCCAGTAACTTGCCAGGACTTATCCTCACATCTGAACATTGTAACGAAGGTATACAGGTAGGATACCACCTTCTATGCTTATAATACAACAACAGAGGCTTAATAAGGTAATAGGTTTATTTCTCTCTCATGTAAACATTTAGGGAAAGGAGGACCTGAGATCCTTGTGCGTGACTCCATTTCCAAGATTTTCTTCTCATCCACAGTTTGTCTTCAGCCTATCACATTCACATTCCAACCTGCAGTAGGGAGAAAAATGGATGGAAAAGAGTGAGCCTTCTCTCTTAGAATTCTTGTAGCCCTGTATCCATGTAGTTGAACTTGGTAGTATCTAGCTGCAAAAGTGGCATGAACTGTCATATTCTCACCTGAAATTCTCATACCAGCCTTATTCCAAAGATCTTATATCACCTGTATTTTTTCAGATGATAATTAAATTAGACAAGTTAAGTAATTACTGTATAGAAACATGCACTACTTTTTTTTTTTTTTAACATGCATTACTGTGTATTTATGCATTCTAGTAATGGTAAACTGATACCACACTTGAGCTGCCTAGCTCCTAAAGCCCCTACTCTATCTGTACTGGGATCCCTGACTCCTTTAAAGACAATGAGCTCCTGTTGTGCCTTTATTGTATAATATTAATTGTTGAGAGACACCAGACCCCAAACTCCTGGGAGGGAACATAATCTTTTCTTTAAGAAACTCTAACTCTTTTATTTTGAGAAGTAGTAGATACAACAAAATTATCTGGTAAGTTCATGGAAATTCTCAGTCTGTCTTACCTTAGAATTTGTTGTAATAATGGTTAACCTTTCATGTGACCTTGTGCTAGTTACCAAGTTGTCATTCCAGTCCTTGAAAGTCAAATGAGAAACCTACATGTCAGAAAGTAATGAGGATATTTATCATCAAACGTTAATAAAAATTACAGTTTTGCTTAGAATTTTATGTCCAGAGTTTTGAAAGAACTCATCTGTTTTACATATAATTGAGTTTTTTTGAGGGCCATTGGTAATTACCATACTTAGGGTACTAAATATTTTCTGTTAATCTCTTTTAGCTTCCTCTATCATCTCTGTCTCAGGATAGCAAACTTGTGTACATTCAGCTGTTATGGGATAATATCAACCTTCACCAGGAACCAGGAGACCCTCTGTATGTCTCATGGAGGAATTTTAGTAAGTAAAATAAGAGTAAAGACATAAAAGATTCAAACAGAAATAACCCAGATGTCCTTTCACAGGCAATGAATAAGCAAATCATGCACAATTCATCCATAGAGTAAAATACTATTCAGCAATGAAAAAAGAAGAATAGAATTAGAACTCAGCCAGGGGTGGTGATGCATGCCTGTAATCCCCACACGTGGGAGGTTGAGGCCAGAGAATCATGAGTTTAAAGAGAGAGAAGAAGAAGAAAAAGATTATTTAGTTTTATTAATTCAAATTGATTTGTTATTGTACTGACCTGTTTAACTATATCAGGTCTTAACTAAGTTGAGTAATTTCTTTGTTAAATACCAATGTGACTAGTTATTTGGAAGTAAATTCCCATAGTGGATAGGTAATATAAATATGTTGGTATAGGATTATGATTTCAGTTATATGGGTGGGTATAGTCTCAAAGAGTCTGGCTTCATTTTTAATCTTTTATATTTAGAATATATTTTACAGAAGATTTACTCAGTAGCCTGTGAGTCAGTAAGAACACAACTCAGTGGATAATTGACCAAATGATATTAATAGATAGTCCATGGGAAAATGTTAAGATGGCATACAAATAGTAATAGGGTGCCACAACAAAACACCACAGACTGATGGGTTAAACAGCAGAGGTTAATTTTCTTACAGCTCTTAGGCTGGAAGTCTAAGAGCAAAGTTCCTCAGATTTGGTTTTTCTCCTGAGGCCTCTCTGTCCTTGCCTTGCCCATGGCTGTCTTCTTACTGTATCCTCATACAGCCTTTTCTCTGTGCAGACTCATGTGTGCATACACACGAATACATACCCAATCATGTTGGGCTAGAGCCTCCCATTCTTGGGACCTCATTTAACCTTAATTGTATGTCTAAAGGCCCTGTCTCCAAATAAATGCACATTAGTGGTTAGAGCTGGGGCACAGTTCAGTCATAACACAACATGAATAGATGCTCAGTCATACTAGCTTTAAATGTCAATTTTTTTAAAGGAAAATGTAAACATCAGGTTAGCAAAAAAAAAATTTGAAGATTAATTTTCCATATTGTTGACGGTGGGGGCAGAAAGAACACTTTGATATACTGTTATAAGTATAGAATGACACATTCTGGAGAACAATATAGTAAACATCCATATTTAATATTTGGACTTTTGGTGGAACCCAGGGCTTGGTACATGCTAGGCTAGAGCTTTATCACTAAGCTACGTTCCCAAGCCTTGGTTTTTTGAGACATGGTCTCACTGTGCAGCTCAGGCTGGGCACTTGAACTCACTATGTGGCCCAGGCTGGCGTCAAACTCTATGATCCTCCTGCCTTACCTGTTTAATGCTGAAATTACAGGCATGAGCCACCATGCCTGTGGTTAAGTTTTAACTCAGGAATTTCAAATTAAGAATTGTGGAAATCCAAATTATGAAATGCTGGTAACCAAGAAATAGTATGAGAGTAATTTGTATAAGATACTTGAAATACATATATTCATTGTACATTGTGTGAAAAAATACAAGTTGCAAAGTAGTATATAATTTTTTCTTGTAGAAAAATGTTTTTCTGTGTGTTTTTAATATATGCATAGAAAAATGCCTAAAACCACATATCTCAAAAATTGTTATTAATAGCTAGCTACTCAGGGAAAGTTTTCATTATTTTTCCTTTTTCAACATTCATCACTGTTTTGTAATTTTTTTACTTAAAAGTAGAGGAAAAAATACAGTTTTCCCTTGAAATATGTGTCATAAAATTATGATTAAATATAAGCTATTTTTTGCCTTTATTTTATTCTAATTATGGTATTTTAATACATTTTAAGCAGGAGGAGTAGAATTAGATTGATTGTTTCCTCTGTCTCTTGAAATAGACAAGTATGTTCTATAGTTAGTGGTGGGGAAGAATTTAGAGCTCTCAAGATGAGACTTTTTTTTAGAAAAATTGATTGGGTACTTTAACTGATGAATTGACATTTAAATAGTTTTTTAAAAAACCTATTAGAATTAAGTAAGATATGACTTCTGGAATGGCCATGTGAGGAGCTTCATAGACCCATTCCTTGGTTAAAAAACCATGAGTGTTATACTAAGACTGTAGAGCAAATGAAGAAATACTGAGTAGCAAGTAATCCTTGCTACTCAGGAGGCAGAAATCGGGAGAATTGCAGTTTGAAGCCTGCCCAGGCAAATAGTTTGAGAGACCCTATCTCGAGAAAACCCACCACTAAACAGGGCTGGCAGAGTGGTTCAAGTGGTATAGTGCCTGCCCAGCAAGTGTGAAGCCCTGAGTTCAAATCCCAGTATGGACAAAAAAAAGAAAAGAAAGAAAATCTGGTAAACCTCATTGTGGCACTTGCTTGCTACTCCTCTCTAGTTCCCAGTCAAGTTCTATTTTTTTTATTAGTTATTGATTCTAGTCCCTTTCTTAGATACAGTAGCAACAATATAAATGACACCAGAAAAAGTAGGTAAATTTGATGTGGTTAAAACTAAGAAAACCACTGGGCACAGTAGCTCGATGTTGGTGGCGAGAGCCTGTCATCCCAGGCACAAATAGGATTGCTGTCCAGGCCGGCCTGGACATAGTGACTTGCCTAACAAGTGTAAGGTGTAAGGCCCTTCGTTCAATCCCCAGTACCACGAAACAAAAAACAAAAGGAGAAGAAAAACCCACTAAGTATGGTGGCACATACTTGTAATCTCAGCACTTGGGAAACTGAGGCAGGAGAATTGTGAAGGCCAACTTGGGCTTCATAGCAAGACTCTGTCTCAAAAAAAGGGGGCTGGTGGGGGAAGAAGGAAGGGAAAAAACTAAGTAAAAACGTGCTTCTTTGCATAGCTGCCTATCATTCTATCCCCTTTCAATGTCATCCTACTAATCTTTCCTTTTTCCTAAAACAAAACAAAAAGTGAAACCCTGGTGGCTCACATCTCTGCTATCTACTTAGGAGGCGGAGATCAGTCAGTCAAAGTTCAAGGCCAGCATGGACAAAACGTTCTGCCAGACCCAAACTCAGCAGAAAAAAGCTAGATATGGTAGTATGTGCCTGTCAATCCAGCTTTGGTAGGAATCTTAAAATAGGAGAATCATAGTTCAGGTAGGCCTGGGCAAAAAAGGTGAGACTCCATCTCAAAAATAACCAGAGCAGAGAGGACTGGAGGTGTGGCTTGAGTGGTAGAGCACCTGCCTAGCAAAAAAAAATCCCTGAGTTCAACTTCCAGTACCACTATAAATAAATAAACAGAGTGAAAAATCAGTCTACAGACTGGAGAGAAATATTTGCATATCATATATTGTACTCAGAATACATAATGAACTTCTTTCCAACTCAATAATAAAAATTTTTTTTAATGGGTAAAGGATCTAAATAGTTTTTCAAAGATGTACAAATGGAGCTGGGCTCAGTGGCTCATGCTTCTACTCCTAGCTGCTTTGGAAGCCACAATCAGGAGGATTGTGATTCAAGGATAGCTCAGGCAAAAAGTTTTCGAGACCCCATCTCAACCAATAAAAGCTGGATGTGTTGGCACGTGCGTGTCATCCTAGGTAGGAAGGAAGCATAAATATGAGTGTTGTGTCCAGGTTGGAAAAAGCTTGAGACCCTATTCAAAAAATACCTAAAGCAAAACAGGGTTGGGGGTGTGGCTTAAGTGTCTAAAAAGTGCAAAGCCCTAAGATTAAGAAAAAAAAATGTTGTACAAATGGCCAAATGCACATGAAAAAATACTTGCAGAATCAGAATTGGAGAGGATGTGGAGAAATCTCATATACTGCTGATTAGAATATAAAATTGTGCAGCTACTTTAAGTTTCATAGCTCTTAATTTTTCAGAGTTATCATATTTCTATATAAAACTCATCAACAAATATTCATACTAGCATTTTTCATAATAGCCCAAAAATGGAAACAACCTGAATGTTCGCCATCTTATGAATGGAGAAGTAAAATAATTGCAAATCACGTATCCTAAAAGGGATTAGTATATCCTTACAGTGGATTTTATTTGGTAATAAAAAGAGTAAGGAAATATTGATACGTGTGATAACATGGGTGAATCTTGAAAACATTATAAAAGTCTGTCCACAGTGGGGCCTGGTGGCTCATGTCTGTAATCTCAGCTACTTTGGAGGTGGAGGAAATTTCATATAAAGGACAACAAAGGATTAGTTGGCAGGTGCTCTACCACGTGAGCCACTCTGCCAGCCCTTTTTGTGTTGGTAATTTTTGAGATAGGCTCTTGCTTTATGCTTTCACCAGCCTGGCTTCCCAACACAGAGTGAGCCACCACCCCGAGCCATTGTCATGGACTGGCCTAAAACCCAGATCCTGATCTCTGCCTCCTGAGTAGCTACAGTTACAAGCCTGAGAGACTGCGCCTGGCTTGCTTTTTCTTTTGAGACAGTCTTGCTATGTAGCTCAGACTGGCCTGGAACTACAGTATAGTTAAGCTGGTCTCTGGGTTAATTAGCAATACTGAGAAAAAACTAAAATTTTGATCAATAAATCAGTTTTTCACAATGAAACACATTTTTATTAGTATATGCAAGTTAAAAATAAAATTTAAAAATGAAAAAAATCTATTTTAAAAATTAAAGGAGAAACAGTGGAGTTGCTTATTATATTTTGAGTAGACTCTAGTCACAAGAGATAGCATGAAAATCATGTCGTCCAAACACTATACAACTATACACTGTGCAACACTACTTAGTGACAAGCACTCAAAATGAAGCTGACTGCGTCATTACTGGATCAGTATTCTCATCTCATGTGAATGTGGAGGGCTGTGATAACAGTGTGCCTAGCAAGCAGAAGGCCCTGAGTTCAAACCCCAGTGCTGCAAAAAAGAAAGAAAAAAAAAAAGGAAAACGTAGTCCTTATGCTGATGTGGGTATAAATAAAATTGCATGTTCTTGGAATTACCACATTGTTAAAATATTCCCCTTTTCCAGGTCAATCATACATTTTTTAAATTTAATGTTTAAAGTTAGTATATGATTCAGCTCTCCTGAAACACTTTTATAGTCTGTGAAATCTGTGCACGTTTGCCTTTAATAGACCTAGAATTATCTTTGTATTAATTAGGATTAAACTCTCCTATGTTTCACAGATGATAACAGACTTAATCAGGTAAGGATTATTCTCTTATAAATATGTTATGAATTGCATTATGTTGTAAACCTAAAATCAGAAAAATTTTACTTCCCATTAGAAAAGGAAAATTCTCAATGAAAAAATTATGAATTAGACAGTCCAGAATTAGTGGGCAATTCCTGTGCCATCAGTGGTCCTTGTTATATCTGTTTTATGATTGATTAGTAAAGGTTGCTTCATGGTTACAAGATGGCTGCTGGAAGATAAATCATCACATCCCAGCTTCAGAAAAGAAGATCTAAGGTGAAGAAAAGGGCAGAGGGATAGGTTTCCCCTATCTAAAGAGAGCTGGAAAAGTATTTTTTTAGCTGGCACATTGTCACATAATTTTATCAGCAAGAGGGACATGATGTTGAGTAAACAAGGAGAAAGTGGCACAACTCTGGAAAAATCTTAATAATTAGAAAAAACTTACTGTGTTCTTATTGTTAGATTCTGAAAAGAAACCGTCTCTTCTGTCAGAGGAACTACAAGCAACAAGCACTTTAGTAGAAACAATTAGGCAGAGCATTCAGCATAATGATGTTCTTAAACCGATCAACCTGCTTGCCCAGCACATGAAGCCAGATACAAAAAGACACAGGTAATAATCCCAGTATTTTTACTTGATAGTACTCAATTTCATGTTTTAAATTTATATATTTTTAAATATCTCTAGTTGCAAAAGAAATGCATATTTATTGTCAAATATCTGATTGTTTTGATAAGTGCTGATGTATGCATTTATAATTGAGCACAAAGACATAATAAAAGTATATCTCTGGTAGAAGCTAAGTTATTATTAGTTAAAATGTTCTGTGTGTTTTTGAAACATTACTATTACTGACCCGATCCTTTCTGTAGCATCAGCTGATGTGTTTGGATCAGCACTGATCCTCTTCTCAGCTAAGTGAATTTTGCAGTGGAAGTTTACAAAGTCTTATAAAGTCTCCCTATTCATGATCTCTTTGAAGATAATCTCAGAGATGATAGGGCAAGAATTGATAATGAAAACAGTTGCACTGGGCACTGGTATCATGGCTATAATCCTAGCTAGTTGGGGGCCAAGATTGGGAGGATCACGGATGGAGGCCAGTCCAAGAAAATGGTTTGTGACACTTTCATCTTCAGAATAACCAGAGCAAAATGGATTGGAGATGTGGCTCAAGCACAAAGCCTGAGTTCAAACCCCAGTCCCACCTCCAACAACAACAACAACAACAAAACAGTTATAATCTCAACTTTTGAGGTGACATGACCTTTACAGTCTGAAGAGTTTGCTTCCTGCATCTGTAGTTTAAAGAAAGTAATATTAGCAATATCAGATTCTGGCTTCTGAAAGCTTCTAAAGCAAGCTCCACAAGTGGTCATTAGAATTAGCATTACTTCATTTTTTCTCTGTAAATTAGTTTGTTTCTTAAGTTTTCCCCTCATCTTTATTTTTTAGCAACAGAGCTCTGAAGCTTTTTCTTTCTGGGGGCTGGAAGACAGGCTCTTGTTATCTTGTTATGTAAGTCCTGCCTCAGCCTCCCAAGTCAAGTGCTGGGCTCACAGGTGTGTGCCACTGTGCCCAACTGTGTAGTGTTTATATGGTGACATTTATGTGTTTACAAAGCAGGTAGAGCTGATTTGATTTATCCGTCACTGTTTACTTCAATAGTAAAGAGGCCATTCTGCTTCTCACATTCTGTCCAAGAGTTTTAGACCCTTGACTCAGAAATAAATGTCACTTTGTTGAGGGGCAAGATATTGATAGAAGACTCTGCTTTTGTAAATTTTAATTAGAAATTTGAGTTAAAATAATTATATATTACTTACACTGTTAAAAACTTGTAGTAGTTAACGGCCAGGTGCTGGTGGCTCACGCCTGTAATTGTAACTACTCAAGGGGCAGAGGTCAGGAGGATAGTGGTTTGAAGCCACCCAGGCAAATAGTTTGCCAGACCCTATCTTGAAAGTGCCTAACACTGAAAGGGCTAGTGGAATGGTTCAAGGTGTAGGCCATGAGTTCAAGTCCCAGTATCTCAAAAAAATTGTAATAGTTACAAGCCTTTTTTTTTCCTGCAGTGCTGGGGTTTGAACTCAGGTCTTCCAGCTTCCAAGGCAGGCCCTCTACCACTTGAGCCATATCTGCAGCTCACAACAGCAATTTTTAATTGTCATTGGAGTGAAACTTTATTTTTTCATTTACACAAAGGTGATTTTTATTGCCCAGGAAAACATGATGTTTTAAAATTCTATTAATAGGGGGTGGGGGCAGTGGGGAGAAATGAACCAATCCTTGTATGCACATATGAATAATAAAAGAAAAATGAAAAAAAAATCTATTAATAAAATATCTGGAAATGATAGAATGCTTATTTTGAAAATCTTGGAGTGAAGCTTTATGCTATAGCTTCTCCTCTGTTGTTTTCTTTTGGGGGCTGTGGGGCAGAGGGAATGCGGGTGATAAAGCCCAAGGCCTTGCACGTTAGGCAAGCACTATGCAACTGGGCTATTCCCTAGCTCCCGTAACTTTTAAAATTTGAAACAGACTCACAGGACATTACAAAAATAGTAGAATCTGCATCTGTGTTATATGTATTTTTATGCTATTTGCACATTAATTATGAAAATATATTTGTTTTTATAGGAGTTTATACAGAGAAATCCTTTTCTTATCACTAGTGTCTCTTGGAAGAGAAAACATTGATATTGGTAAGTTGGTTAGTGAGGGATTACTGAAAGTGATTCTTAGTATTATTTGCTAAAGTAATTTTTAAAAAATGTAGCTAGTGCACGTGAGTAAAATAAATAAAAAAGTAAAAAATAAATAAAAATGTGCCTAGTGGGTGGGGCTATAGCCCAGTAGTAGAGTGCTTGACTGGCATACGTACGTGCTGGGTTCAATTCTCAGCCCTGTTAGAGAAAAAAAAATGACCTGGTTATGTATAAATGCTTGCCTTTAAAAAGATTGCTATCTTTAAATATGTAACTTAAATATGTATAGTTCAACTCATTGCCATTTTTAAATACACAGCTTTTGTATTATTAAAACTGCATTTTTGAAAATGTCTTTCAGAGGCTTTTGACAACGAATATGAAGCTGCATACAACAGTCTATCTTCCGAGATTCTGACAAAGTTACAGAAAATTGATTCTCCACCTAGTGTCAGTGTCGGGTGGTGCAGGAAATGTTTTGGAGCACCTCTCATTTAAATCGAGATTCATTAGAATTTTGGCACAGTGTTGGTAGAACACATTCTGTTTTGGTAAAAACTGAAAGGAAGTAAATTTTGGGCAATATTCAGTGAGTTGTAATTTGTACTGAATCATCTCAAAATGTAAAATGCCTGGAGTTTATTGATGTATGTTGCAGTTTCAATTCCTGAACTGTTTCTCTGCCTTTACTGAAAAACTATTTTTGGATTTCACAGTATTTGCAATAGCTTAAGACATTTGTTTATATTTGAAGATACTGGGTTTGGGGAATGGCGAATTAAACTTGCCTAACCTCAAAACAAATGTTTCAATTATAAGAGTAACTATTTGTATATGACTATATGTGTGTGGGACTGTGTAGGTATGTGTATAAGTGTATATTTATTAAAATACTTAAGATTGCGTGTTGCAATAGTTTCTGAAAGGGTTCTTCTCATTGCCTATTAAGTAAATGACTACTACTAAGCTTACCTGTAGTCATTAATCCCCAAATTACCTGAAAGTCATGACAACTGCCTTTCCTTTAAAATTTAATATATTATCACCCTTTTATATTATGTATTGCCCTGCTTAATGGATTATATCTTGAATATTCAGGTACCTCCTTCCATCACCTTCCAGTATCATGTTAATTTGCTATGGCTTTAAAATTAACTTCATCACTTACAAAATTGTTTGGAACATGCCTAAAATACTAAATAGCATATTTTCTTTGGTCCTGAAATCTTTGCTCAGGCAAGTAAATTGGTCACTTTTACAAGCCTGTGGAATAAACTTTGCACTGCACATAGAAGTTTTATTCTTGTACAGTATCTAGATTTGTATTCTTGTGAGTAAAAATGTGCATTTGTAAATACTGGTTTTTTTAAGTTTGAATCAATTAAGTCTTAAAACTTTGGAGCTTATTGAGCTTGTTGCCAGGTTAAGTCATGACCTCACATGCCTTACACTTTGATTTTTTTTTTTTTAATACCCATTAAGAACAGTAAGCTTGCCTTAACTGTGAATGGTTTAAAAGTCCAGTATGTGTGCATTTACAGCAATTATGCAAATGACTAAATTAGTTGATATGAAAAATTACCTCCACCTGGTCCATTTAACAGCACATACCTTTGTATATGGTGTGAACTTTTAAAAATTATAGGTTATTGTTCCATTGTTTCAATACTTAAATGTATAATCTCACCTATGCAGAATTCTAGGCTGAATTTATGAGAATACTGGGTGAAAAAAGAAATTATGTACAATCTTTATTATCTTCAAAATGGATTTTTTGCACCGTCTCAAGAATATATATTTTTGGAACTTATGTAACACTTGTTGACCCAAACTTTGGAATTACCTTGCATATAAAGAAATGAGGCTGAATAAAATGAAAATTAATCTTAAATTTGCTGTTTTAAAGTTCTTGCAATTTGTAGGATTGTGAGGACTAGAATTCCAGTATTTTCCCATTTCTTCTGAGTAGTCTTGTTGTTACTTACCAAAGCACTTCATATTTATATAAATATCTGTAATGAAGATCTCCATACATTTAAGGATATATAGTCAGCTAGGTGTGATGGTGTATACCTGTTACCCCCAGCACTCCTCTAGGAGGTTGAGGCAGAACTGAGTAGAAGCCAATTTGGAATACATATAGAACCTGTCTCCAATAAAATAAGAATATGTACCCATATCAAGTTGTAACTTTTAGCAGTTACAACTTGGAAGCTTAGCTTAATACTGCCACTAGATCCATAGGGACTGATTTCTGTATTCAATCTAAGCTTTCTCTACTAGTACCCAACAAAAAGAGCACCTTTAAAAATTTATGGGAAAAAAATACCAGTTTCCATATCCTGTATTTTGGTGGTACTGGAGTTTGAACTCAGGGCCTTAGGCTAGCAAGGCAGACACTACCCACTCCCCGCCCCGCCCAGCCTTGTATCTAATGCAAGGTATGAAACTCTAATCCTGTCAACTTCTAAAGCCATCTTTCAAACTAGTTCATACTGACTTTGAGCTCAATATTGTAACTTTAGTTTTATCTCTGGGCTTGCTCATAGCAACCTGCATAGTCAATGACTTTTAACTAGTCTCATTTTTGCCAGGGCTATCATCAGACTGCAGTTGTCTACAGTAGTACACATCTGGTCCTAAATTGTATAGATTTTTAACAAAAGCTGTATTCCTCAAAATAAACTTTAGATTTAGTAGTCACTTGTTCTTATATATTACCCAATGCATTCCTCAAAGTTCAGTAAACATTTTATGCTTAAGATTCCTTTCCTGGGCTGAGGGTGTGGTGTAAGTGGATGGGTACCTGCCTAGCAAGCCCTAGTACTGCAAAAGGAAAAAAATTCTAAATCACTCACCCCAAAAAGAACCCCTTGGTCTGGACAGTCGCTTCCACTATCACAGTAATGTGTTTCTGAATTTAATAAATATCATTCTTACAGTCTATTATTGCACTAATGAATACGTGTCCCTTTTTCTATGGCTCAATTTCTTCCCTTCATTTACCTAGTTTTATCAATGAAAGAAAAAGTCAAGGAGACTTGAGGTCTAATCATTTATTTGTTACTCTTAAAGATTCTTATTTTTGACTGGATTCAGACTTAGAAGTAGAAGCTCTCAGAGAAGACAGCCTTCTTCTCTTTGCAATCTGTTCCTGGCGTTTTTCTTTGGCTTCCTAAACAAAACCAAAAGGTGCACAGTTAAGGCTTTGTAGGAGAGAAAAAAAGAAATCCAAAGGCAGTCCTGCCTTGCTCTCTGCCACCTCCCCAATCATCTTAAGACTTTACCTTCATCCTCTTAGCCAAAAGTTTAGCATATTCTGCAGCCTCTTCCTTATTTTTCTTAGTACGTTGTTTTTTCAGAGCAATGCGCCGGCGTTTGTGTTGCAGGACACGTGGAGTAACAAGACGCTGAATCTTAGGTGCTTTGGTCCTAGGCTTCTTACCTAAAAATTAAGACCATTCAAGTTATTGGCCAGTAATGCCTTTACTGGACTAGAGTGTAGTCCAATAGCACAGCACTTGTCTAGCATGCAAGTGTGTTGGGTCCAATCCCCAGCATTTAGTGTGCACGTACACAACCTTATGTGTTAGGAGCCACATCTACTAAGATGTTATAACAAATATACAAATATTTAATCAAGTTAACAGCACCTATAAAAGCCAGTAAGGCCTTAAAAAAAAATCATCCAAAATATTCTAAAACTTATTACCCCTCAACAAACATCTACATGATGGACTATACACTGCTGAGGTAAAGGCAAACCTGGAGTCCTCATCCTTTGTTATACTATAGCAATGACATTTATTAAGTGTCACTACATGCTTAATTGTTCTACAGAAACTTTTTAAAGCATTATCTACCCCATCCTAGCACACTTTGAAGCTCTCATTTAATCCTGAATATTTCCTGACAGATCCTGTCAATTTGGTAAAGCAAAAACATGAACATCAAAAATATGTGGCATATTGTTAAAGCTAACTTCGTTTAGCTTTCCTGATTCGCACTCCAAATCTGTTTATAGATCATACGAATTTTTGGAGCAGAAACCTTCTCAGATCTAATTTTCATTCATTGGACACTTCATATATTAACACCTTGGGTATATGCTCAGTTGTCCAGGTTCTGTTAAGACAGTTAAATTACTCCTACCACAGACAAGAAAAATCTTAAAAACACCTGGCAACTAGGTAACACATATACTACACCATTGCTGTTTCCATGTGTGATTACGGAGAACTGCCATACACTTGCCATGTCAGGTACATTTTCTGCAATGTAAGCTTCCTGATGTTAAGACTTTGTATATTTATACCTTATCTTCGGCACCTAAGAGTACCTAGCATATGGCAGATGCCAAATGTTTGGAATGAGTAACATTAACAAGCACGTGAACAATATGTAACTATGACACAAAATTCCTGAAAACCAGCTAGAACTATCCCTCAAGTGGCAGTGCTGACCCAGCAAGCACAAGACTGAGTTTAAACTCCAGTACTGCTGCCACCACCTCCCCAAACTTCTGAAAACCAAATGCAAATAATCTTCAGACTTGTTATTCTCATCACTCCTAATTCCCAATGCAATGAACTTAAATTCTGGTATGTTATAGAAACTCACTCTCTAGGTACATAGTGCTAATGCTTTTTTAAGTACACACAAAATAAGACAAATTATTAAAGCTATGCAAGCCCTAGATTTCACTCTTACCTTCTTTGTTCAAAGGCTTTCTAACAACATATTGGCGGACATCATCTTCTTTAGAGAGATTGAAAAGTTTTCGGATTCTGCTAGCTCTTTTGGGCCCCAGACGACGAGGCACTGTAGTATCGGTCAGTCCAGGAATATCCTTCTCTCCTGAGAAGAGTCAAACGGACAAGGAGGTTTTAGGTTCAATATCCTCCACATAATTTAAGAATCCTATTTGGGTTTGAGTTGTTAATTTGAACTATACTAGTCCACTGATCAGTGTGCAGATACTGTAAGTAGAAAAGCATTTGGAAAATCAGCATTTGGACAAGCCAATTTAAATAAAAATTGAACTTTAAGACTCACCTTTTTTTACAATAACCAAATTGAGAACACTCAGGTTGGCATCCACAATGCAACCCCGAACAGATTTGCGCTTTCTCTCTCCAGTTCTCCTAGGTCTGTAACAGGAATGCCCCTTACTCAGTAGCAGGCGAACTCGGCCATGGGTCAAGACACCCTGCTTCATGGGAAAACCTTGTTTGTCGTTCCCACCACTGATTCGGACCACATAACCCTGCATGAGTGGACAATGGGACATTTACTACTTCTATTCCAAATGTATAAAACACAGGGAGAATTTGGATTTCTGAACTTAGTCTTATTTACATTCCCAACTTGCCAACTTCAACTAGCAAATTTCTTTTAAGTTAACCTGCATTTTAAAAGAGGCACGCAGCGCTTGAGGACAGAAATGTTAAAAAAAAAAAAAAAAACAACAAAATCAACGTTTAATTAATATCAATGAACAATAAACAAATCAGAAATATTTCTTCTTGACACTTTAAAAAGACTCCTTAGGGACAATTAGGACAACTGACTTTGCTGAATGATGCTGCAGGGCAGATAATATACTTCATGTCAACTGTCCACTTAAAATCCACAACACAGCCCCACCAGGTGAGAGTTCTTCATAAAGTAACTTTTGGAAGGAACTGACCAAGGCCACAATACAGAACCCGGAGTTCAAGCTCTATTACAAACACCAATTACCAACAGCTGTCTCTCTCAAAAACATAGCAATTTATTCGACAGCCAACTTTTACCTTCCATTCTTCACCCAGAGCGTCAGCAGCAACTTCGGTGGCCATCCGCTTCTCATAGAAAGTACGAAGTTTGCGCTCATCGTCCACTTCAATGAGTTTCTGACAGCCAGTGGCCGGGAAGGAGATATTCAGCTAAGGTTTAAGAGAGGGGAAAACCTTAGGAAATCACCTACATAGCTAGCGAACCACACACAATGGCTATTTCATCGCGAAGAGCTTCGCACACATTCAGAAATGAGACGCCAAGTTTATTCACTAATAATGGGCAAGTCCTGCACCAGCAGGACACGTTGCCCTCAAACCCCGTAGAATGAAGCCGCGGGCGAGGCGCTCCGCTGCCCTTACCATCCCGGAGCAAGTGAGGGTCGAGGCCGCCCGACAGGCCTACCGCACACTGGGCCCTAAGCCCGCATCCGTGCCGGCTGGGCGTGAGGGCGCCACCATGGCGCTCCCAACACTGCTGGAGCTCCAGCCGCAATCTTCTGCCATCCGCGCTCCCCAGGAGGTCTAAACGCAGAAAAGCGAACTTTATCCTGCCTCACACCCTCCTCCAACTAGAGCCGAAATCTTGGAGTACTGGGACTACGGCAACGGCGTTTTTGGGGGCGCGATGTAAGATACCCAAGGCCATCCAGACACCCGCCACCACTTCATACCTTCATCTTGGCGAAGCTGCTCGCCCAGGAGGCGCCACGAAAAAGAGACCAGACTTCCGCTTACCCCAGGTCACATAGCGCTTTAGATTCTCGCGAGATTAGTGAGCACTAGGGACAGCGGAAGTGGGTGAGAATGGGAATGGGCGGGACTTCCGGGGGTGGTGTTATTAAGCAGCTGGTGTGGGATTGAGTTGGTGGGATTGAACGTTTAGCTGCCATTGTGAGGTGGTGGAGAGGGGTTTCTCTTTTTAACAGTGAAGGTTAACATCTTCCCTGCCTAATCTTATCTGCGCTCACCTAGGCCTTGTAGCTTGACCACTGCGGAGCCCGACTTGGTTCCCTGACACTCTCAAGCACCCAGTGCTACCAAAGTAGGAAGGCAAGACCGGAAGATTTACTGTTCTGGACCGCGTCCTGCTCTGGTCCCAGCGATTCACAGCCCTGATATTTTTTTTCTTGGCTCTCTTACTGCTTTGCAATGTTC